TGCTGATGAGACGCCTTGGTGGCCATGAAGGGAAGCCACTCTGCTGCCCTTGCCGCCATCACGGTTGGGGGGGAGCCCGCCTCAAAAGGGCGGGGATGCTGGCCGTGGGGGGGCCTGGTAGGCAGCAACCTCTGTGTTCCACCGAACAAGAGAGTTTAGCACCTGGCGGAGGGAATGGAGGGTCATGGGCGCCAACACACTCTTCCTTTTCCAACCTTAGCTGTCTGAGTTTAGCTGTGAACCAGGGTTTGTCATTGTTGTAACTCACCCTGGTGCGTGTTGGTGTACAGCTGTCCCCACAAAAGCTGATGTAGGACGTGACAGCCTCTGTAAACTCATCCAGATTGTTGGTAGCAGTCCTGAAAACATCCCAGGCAGTGCAGTCCAAACACGCCTGAAGATCCTCTACAGCTTCACTAGCCCACTTCTTTGATGTCCTCACTACAGGTTTACAGAGTTTTAATTTCTGCCTGTATGCAGGAATCAGGTAGATCATCAGAGCGTCCCAGTGGAGCGCGTGTGACGGTTTGATAGGCACTGCTAACTGTGGTGTAGCAGTGATCCAAAGTGTTCCCTTCTCTGGTTGGACACTTAATAAACTGTCTGTATTTGGGGAGTTCTTGGCTGAGATTTCTTTAGTTAATGTCACCGAGAACAATAACAAGGGAGTCCGGGTTGGCCTGCGGTGGAGTATAAATACCAACCAGAGTAACTGAAGCAAACTCATGGGGGGAGTAAAAACGTCGGTACACCAGCTGTTGTTAATATAATAACCGACACCTTCACCTTTTGTTTTGCTGGAGATTTCTGTGTCGCTCTCTGTTTTTCCCCACCAGAAGCTGAAGTTCGTCTAGTTTGTTGCACCGTGAGCACACGTTGGAGAGAAATATTGCCGGTAGCGGTGTGCGGAGTCCCCCCTGGCGAAGACGCACAAGCCACCTGGCTCGTTTTCCTCTCCTGCGGCGCTTCACCGCACGAACAACTGTGAGAGTGCTCTTCACCAAAATGTCTAATAATTCCACTGATGACGTGAGAAAAGTGGGAAATAAATCCGCTAGAATTGTTCCCTTGATGTTCATGAGCTCTTCTCTGGTGAAGGAGCTCCAGGAACCACAGCCGAAAACTGAGTTAACACACACACACAAACAAAACAAAGTGCACCTAAAACCAAGGCAGCTATACACAGCGCCATCTTGGTAATTGGATTTGTACAATGGGACAGTACAATAGTAAGAAAAGTAGCATCTGAGAACCCAGCCATATTCCAACTTATTTGTATGAAAATACTTTGTGTGATTACTGATTTAATAATGTCTACACTGATTTTTTTTGTTCTAAAAATCCCAGCAGCTAGCTCACACGAACAGAAATAAAGTCATTTGATTGGAAATTTCATCAAATCCACTTAAGAAGGTACAACTCCCGCACCTGTGAAAGAAAACACCACATGGGTAAACGCTCCTTAATCAACGTGCTACATAATGTCAGATCTGTGCCGAAAGAGAGCTGTCTAAATGTAATACGTGTATGGTCATCAGTTGATTGTCCTCAGCTTTAATGTAGCTGTCAAATGGCTCATCCAATCATTGCTCCCATGGCTGTGTCTTAGTTTGATTGGGGAGGGGTGCAAGACCAATGTAGTGCATAATGGCAGGTGGTGTGTCTAAAGTAATGTCTACATCTCATACCAACAAGGTCAAGAGGCGACCATCTACATCATTAATGTAGCTGTCAGACAGCTCCACCAATTACTCATCTCAGTTCGTCAAGGTCTTTTAGCGTCTATAATTCACCATGCAGTGTGTGTGTGTGCGCGCGCATGCACACAGACCTACCTGTGTGTATGTGCTTGACAGTTGGCTTGAAACCTACTAATGAATGAAGTAATTAACTTCCGCGGGAACAAATTGTAGAAGAAAATGAGGTTCGAGTCCAGCACAGACTCCAGTGTCCCTAAACAAAGTAACGGACCCTAACTGTTCCCCGGGCGCTGCACAATGGCTGCCCACTGCTACTAATTGAGATGGGTTGAATGCAGAAAACATATTCTGCATGCATTGCACTGTGTATAAAATTGTATTAAGCCAATTAAGTTGATTATCATTATTTATGATCTTGATTTGCTTGTACTGAACATTTGTGGATTATTTCATTATTCAGTGTGTCAGAAGCCGTACAGCAGAATTTTAGATTCAGATTTGAATTATTGTACTGAACATTTATAAATTTTCCTTGTCCACAAGACCTGGAAAAGGTGGTGCAGTCATTCTCCCTTAACTCATCTGGTAATGTGGCCTCACACATGATGGGGGAGCTCCTGCTTTTGTAGCCTGTGATGTTCTTGATGGCCTGCCACATACAGGTGCTGGTCATTTAATTACAATATCATCAAAAAGTTGATTTATTTCAGTAATTCCATTCAAAAAATGAAACTTGGATATTATATTCATTCATTTCACACAGACTGATATATTTCAAATGTTTATTTCATTTAATTGTGATGATTCAAACTGACAACTAATGAAAATCCGAAATTCAGTATCTCCAAAAATTTGAATATTACTTAAGACGAATACAAAAAAAGGATTTTTAGAAATGTTGGCCAACTGAAAAGTATGAACATGAAAAGTATGAGCATGTACAGCACTCAATACTTAGTTGGGGCTCCTTTTGCCTGAATTACTGCAGCAATGCGGCGTCGCATGGAGTCCATCAGTCTGCGGCACTGCTCAGGTGTTATGAGAGCCCAGGTTGCTCTGATAGTGGCCTTCAGCTCTTCTGCATTGTTGGGTCTCGCGTATCGCATCTTCCTCTTCACAATACCCCATAGATTTTCTATAGGGTTTAGGTCAGGCGAGTTTGCTGCCCAATTAAGAACAGGGATACCATGGTCCTTAAACCAGGTACTGTGAATTTTGGTACTGTGTGCAGGTGCCAAGTCCTGCTGGAAAATGAAATCTGCATCTCCATGAAGTTGGTCAGCAGCAGGAAGCATGAAGAGCTCTAAAACTTCCTGGTAGGTGGCTGCGTTGACCTTGGACCTCAGAAAACACAGTGGACCAACACCAGCAGATGACATGGCACCCCAAACCATCACTGACTGTGGAAACTTTACACTGGACTTCAAGCAACGTGGATTCTGTGCCTCTCCTGTCTTCCTCCAGACTCTGGGACCTTGATTTCCAAAGGAAATGCAAAATTTACTTTCATCAGAGAACATAACTTTGGACCACTGAGCAGCAGTCCAGTCCTTTTTGTCTTTAGCCCAGGCGAGATGCTTCTGACGCTGTGTCTTGTTCAAGAGTGACTTGACACAAGGAATGCAACAGCTGAAACCCATGTCTTGCATACGTCTGTGCGTGGTGGTTCTTGAAGCACTGACTCCAGCTGCAGTCCACTCTTTGTGAATCTCCCCCACATTTTTGAATGGGTTTTGTTTCACAATCCTCTCCAGGGTGCGGTTATCCCTATTGCTTGTACACTTTTTTCTACCACATCTTTTCCTTCCCTTCGCCTCTCTATTAATGTGCTTGGACACAGAGCTCTGTGATCAGCCAGCCTCTTTAGCAATGACCTTTTGTGTCTTGCCCTCCTTGTGCAAGGTGTCAATGGTCGTCTTTTGGACAGCTGTCAAGTCAGCAGTCTTCCCCATGATTGTGTAGCCTACAGAACTAGACTGAGAGACCATTTAAAGGCCTTTGCAGGTGTTTTGAGTTAATTAGCTGATTAGAGTGTGGCACCAGGTGTTTTTTCACAATATTCTAATTTTCTGAGATACTGATTTGGCGGTTTTCATTAGTTGTCAGTTATAATCATCAAAATTAAAAGGAATGAACACTTGAAATATATCAGTCTGTGTGGAATGAATGTATACATTATACAAGTTTCACTTTTTGAATGGAATTACTGAAATAAATCAACTTTTTGATGATATTCTAATTATATGACCAGCACCTGTATCTTTGGTGGTGTTGGTGTTGAGGTCTCTCTCCAGTCTCTGCTGATGTCTCTGCTTCGCCTCCTTGATGCCAGCTTTCAGTCTCGCTGTGGCGGTGCTGTAAGCTTCTTTATCACCAGAACGAAAAGCAGCTTTTAGTCTCTGGATAGAGCCCTCACCTCTCTATACATCCAGGCTTTCCGGTTGAGGAATGATTTTATTGTTTTAGTGATCACCTTATTATCAACACATTTGCTGATGCATGATGTCACTGATGATGTATATTCCTCAAGGTTGACGTGGTTCTTCTGGAAGGTGTGTGTGCACTCAGAACTGTCATGTAGAGCTGCTGTAGCCTCATCTGTCCATACTGTGGACTGTTTGTAATGTTTAAGTGACTGTGCTCAGGTCCCACCTGATTCTTCTATGAATGTAGTGATGATATCATATGATAATAATAAAAATGTAACCCCATTCTGACATTAGTTGCTGCTTTGTGAACCTATACTATTTGCATAATATTCTCTCAACATTTCAGCAAATTTCTCTAGCAATCCAAAGTTATTTTTCTTATTACTTTGGTCTAATCACTTATTTACCATAGGACCATACCATATTTTAAATGAAATCTGTTCTGTAGTACATTAATAAACTAAGACCTCTGTTAGAATTGCATCCCACTTTGGCACACTAGTAGATGAGCACCTTCTAAGCCTGAATTCTCCTAAACACTGTCATACAACCATGGACTTGACCTGTTTTTGAACGTCACTTTTTGGTTTTGAGGTAATCTAGGTTACCCATTCAGATAAAAACATCAACGTTCATATTACAGGGGGATTAGATGTCCATATGAAAAAAGTATTTCTAAATTCCCGTACCTGCTAATCTTTTACATTATTACCTTGATCAAATCATCTTTACTGAGAGCCACATTAGACGATCCAATGCATTAGAGAGTTATAAAATACATAATAAATTAATACACATCTTGTAATATATTACAGACCCCCCTCTGTATTACAGAATGCTGTAGTCCAAGGCGCGCTCAGCGATTTGGCGCTAGAGTGTCCCCGGTTTACTGTACGCTCCGAAGCAGCTGCTGTTGTTAACAGAGATACTTTAGTCATTTAGCTTCTGATTGTTTTTAAACAAAAACAGTCCTATGACATTAATGGACAATCATGTCTGAAGAGGAAAATAAGGTTTCCGATGAACTTTTCAAAGACGTCAAATTCTACGTGGTGGGGGACATTGATCAAAAGGTGAGGCTCTGGCTTCTTGTAGCTAAGTTGGTAGCATGCTAACTTGCTAGCACCATTCAGTTTCAATGAGGTGCTGCAGGATAAGCTAATCAGTTAGCTAACTGCCTGACATGCTACATTCAACACAGCGAGCTTAGTCTTTGGCTAACAGAGTGTTGTGGTGAGCCCTAAATTAACGTTATACATTGTAAAGTTATGTATGAGATTGTGTTTATAATACTCGACGTGATTGGGACCGTTTAACGTTAGCAATGCACTTTTCATGCACCCTTAGCATTAACGTTAGCTATGAGTTTCGTAGTTGCATAGCTGCTAGCTTATAGCCTGCGGTTTATCTGTCACGGGGCTTGCCAAGCTAGTTAGAAAGCTGGCGTCTGTTAACTTGCTTTATTGGCCGCTTAATGACAGCGGTACTACTGTTACTGCGCTGCTGTGATGTGTAGTGACATATAACAAGGTACATAACATTGCACAGTGTTATTTAGCATCAACATCTTGCTCAATTGTGCGCCCCTTACTGCGCATGTGTCATGGCTATTTCAGTCGTTGGTACTGGAGACCTGTGGCACAGAGCTGTACTTCCTGCCAAATAGTGATTCCTAGTCGCAGATGCAGGGTGCTTCTCAAGTCTCTGAATTGCATCCACGTTTCCCTCACTTGCGTCTTTTCCTTGCGTCTTAGTCCCGCCCACCGGGGATGCATGGAGAAACGCAAGGAAACCAAGCCAGCAGAGAAGGAACGTGGAAATGTGTTTGTAGAGACATGAGACCTCCTTTCCTCCGAAGGGTTTCATGAAGTGACGTCTGTTTCTGATGAGGGTGGCAGCTGATCACAGCTGGATCAGCTGTGAGTTGGCTCTAACAGCTGTAGAGGCTTTTGATGAGTTTGTGTCTGCACAGGTACACTGTGTTGATACTAATAAAGTCTCTCAGTTATCAGTGCAGAGCAGCATGATTCTCTCTGTAGCTGCTACCTGTTTAACAAACACCTGCACATGAATAATTATGGGTTACTGGATGTCCTGCTCAGAGGTACAGGATCATTTGTACTGGCACAATGCTGATATTATCTGCATTTAGAGTTATTGATTCTGATAATGAATTGAATAACCCAGAATATGATCATGGTGTCTTGGGATTTATTAGGCTAAATGTGTCAGGGAAATTGAAATTATGTAACTTGTATCAAAGTTGACGCTCAGTTTATGGCTTTCTGTTTATTTCCTCTTCTGATATCCTGTAACACTACTGCATACATTTTATTTGCAAGTCACATCACTCATCACCGATCGATCACTGTGTTCCATCATATCAATCCAACGATTCAGAAGCTGATTTTTCTTTCACCAGATGCTTTGCTTGCTTCATTAGGTACTTTGTGCAGTTGAGTGACTTGTCCGCCTCCTTACGCTACGTGTTTACCATGTTTTATTGTTGTCTCTTTGGACTAAACACAGGAATGAGCATATGACGATAAATGATGTAAAACATGTTTCTTGCAGAAAGACTCTCCGACTCACTCTGACTTTAATTATCTCCATAATAAATGTTGACGGGAGAAATAAAAGAAAGACCTTTCTAATAAATACAATGAACACAGATTTTAACAAGACAGTGAATCATAAAACAACTCAAATAAAGGCTAAGACTTTGCAGCGCTACACTTAAGTTTAATCTGTCCTGATCAGCTGCAGCGTCCAATCAATGCAACGACTACCCAGTAAGGGGGCATGTCAGGCATTAAAAGACTTCCGCAAAGGATGCACTGGTTTATCCTCGCTCATAGCTCCTCACAGATCGCTCCTCGATCCTCATTCCTCTGAGCGCAAATAAGAGCTCTGGGACAGCCTGCAAGATGGCGGAGCGGAACAACTTCCGGTTCAAGCGAGGAGCGAAGAAAACAACAAATAAGAGACTTGAGAAGCAGTCACAGTCTGTGGTCGATTCCCTCTTTTTGAGCGTGTATATGTACAGCAGTATGAACTCTTGTATCGCATTCAATAATGTGATTTTAACCGTAAATGAAATGCAACACACAACAAGTGAAATAAGAACAGGAGAACATACAATACATAAGCTGTTCATGGAGGCTTTCCACCAAAAATATAAACTTCTTGATCTCAGTCCTATCAAAACCTTATTCTGGAATCTGTGGAAAATATGTTCCGAATGTTAGTGATTTGTGCCACCTTTCTGTACGTCAGTCCTAATGCTGTAACTGCATGTGTCAGTCCTTCCATGTCTCTTTGCTAAGGCACATACATTCCCTCTGTGGAAGCTGAACTGAAACGTCAGAACATGTGAAAGTTGTAACAAAGCAGCTGTTAGATGCAGGATGAAGAAGTGACGTATGTATCTGATAAATGTCAGGCTTTAAACAGGACTACTGAATACTGATTTTTTTTGTGTGTGTTTTTTTTTTTTTTTCTGTTTCATAAGTTCACCACAGCAGTATGTTGTGTGTGGAAATGGAAGGCCTTCTGAAATCGCATATATTGGATTAGCTGTGCAGGCGCACTGGGTCACAGCTCTGTTGTTTTGTCCAAACATCCTGTGGCAACTATCGTCTCATCCAACACATTTTCTGGGGGAAACCCTGCTGTCTGTTGTTGATCTCATTTTAAAGCCTGCTGTAACTCTAAAAAACCTCTCTTTTTTTGAAATATTGCTATGAACTGAACGAAGCAAAAGCCCTTGTTAAACAGAGATCCTGCATTACAGCATCATAATGCTGCCCCAGTGTGACGCTAGACAGCATGCTGGCGTTCCGTATGCAAAGAGGTGTGACGTGTAACGACAGCGTTGGCGCTGGGTGTCCCGGTTCCCCCTTTTTACACAGGCGTTGATTCAGCTGTGTTACTGCTGCCACTGCTGGCTGAACAGCAGAACAAATCCAGTGTCAGTCTGGATTGAAGGAGAGTTCAACCTGTGCTGATATTCCAGGTGGTGCAGCTGCTGAAAGCAGGAAAAGGGAAGGAGGTGTCCTACAATGCTCTGGCCACTCACATCATTGCAGAGGACGGAGACAATCCTGAGGTGGGCGAGTCGAGGGAGGTGTTTGACCTACCTGTTGTCAAGGTAAGGGCTGGGCCAGTGTGTGTTCACGCACACAACCCAGGTTTTTTTTGACCATTTCTTCCTTTTTATTATGGGAGCAAATTGGTCCCTATAAAATCCAGTTACATATTTTATCAAATTCTGTGTTCAAACATATCATCAGGAAGAGTGTGCAATCATGTGGATCTGGCACAATTCAATAAGAAAATATTATTATTAATATTTTAAATATAAATATTTAAAATGTTATCAATATCAATGAATTTGATGTATTACAAGACAATTGGTTCTGTTGGAGGTGTCATTTTCCGTAATTTCCGGACTATTGAGCGCACCTGAATATAAGCCGCACCCACTGAATATTAAAAAAAAATATTATTTTGACCATAAATAAGCCGCACATGTCTATAAGCCGCAGGTGCCTACCGGTACATTGAAACAAATGAACTTTACACAGGCTTTAACGAAACATGGCTTGTCACAAAGATAAATAGGCTTAACGAAACACGTCTTGTAACAAAAAATCAAGCAGTAAACAGTAGCCTACCAAGAAAGTCATTGGTCACTATCTTCTTCCTCCTGTGCACTGAAACCACTGAAGTCATCTCCTTCGGTGTCGGAGTTGAATAGCCTCAGAATTGCTTCATCCGATATTGGATCATTTTCATTGTCGCTCTCGTCACTTTCATCCGGAGGCAAATCCCCCGCTGAGCCCTCTTCAACACGCAGCAATCCAGCCTTTCGAAACCCGTTGATGATAGTGGATTTTTTGACAATGCTCCACGCTGTCAGGACCCACTCGCAGACTTGACCATAAGTTGCTCTTCGCGTGCGGCCCGTTTCAGTGAAGGATTTCTCCCCGCTTGTCATCCAAGCCTCCCACTGACCACGGAGCGCCACCTTAAATGCACGATTGACACTGATGTTGAGTGGCTGCAAGTACTTTGTTGTGCCCCCAGGAATCACAGCTGGAATTGAGTTTGTCCTCTTGATGGCTTCTTTCACCGAATCTGTTATGTGGGCCCTCATGCTGTCCAAAACGAGCAATGCCTTGTTCCTGTGAAAGAATCCTCCCGGTCGCTTGTCGTAACACTCCGTATGCCATTCATGCATTAGGCTTTCCGTCATCCAACCTTTCTTGTTGACTTTCACAACAATTCCTCTCGGGAATTTTTCTTTTGGCGTCGTTGTGCGTTTAAAAATCACCTTCGGTGGAAGCTTTTCTCCCGATGCCGTGCAGCTCAGAACACAGGTGAAGTGCGTTTTTTCATGCCCAGTTGTTTTCAGCGTGACGGATGATTCGCCTTTCCTGTTGACAGTCCGAGTGAGAGGCAGGTCAAACATCAGAGGAACCTCATCCATATTTATGATGTCGTGCGGGCCATTGGAATGTTCCGCTATCTTTGCATCAGTGAATTTGTGGAAGTTTGAAACTTTTTCCTCGTAGTCGGGAGGGAGCTGCTGACACAGACTTGTCCGTACCCTGATGGACAGGCCTTTACATCTCATAAATCTGAGACACCACGATGGTCCACCTCTAAAGTCCTCACACTTCATTGCGGTGGCGATTGTTTTGGCTTTCAGTCGGATCTGCACAGTTGAAACACCTCGGCCGTCTGCTCTCTGTGTGTTGACCCAGTCTTCGAGGTCATTTTCTAGTTTGGGCCATCTGCTTTTCTTCCCTCTGAAAGCTTTAGTTGTCTTTTTGCACTTAGTCAAGTCCTCACGCTGCTGTTTCCAACGTCTTCATCATCGACTCATTAAGACCAAGCTCCCGTGCAGCAGCTCTATTTCCTTTTCCAACAGCCAGATCAATCGCCTTCAACCTGAAAGCTGCATCATATGTATTTCTCCGTGTCTTTGCCATGATGAGGGTGACAAGATGACTACCGTGATCAGAATTATGGGAACTTTGAGCGCACTCGATTTAATCTAAACAGTACACAAAAAAGTTGTTTGACCTTAACCCGTACGGCAATTTCATTGGTCTAATGAAAGCTTCATGCCGCCAAAAAACTGAGCACGGCACAGAATGTGTTTTTTGAAAGCGGGAAAAATCAGAGCGGGAAAAATCCACATATTAGCCGCGTCATTGTTTAAGCCGCAAGGTTCAAAGCGTGGGAAAAAAGTTGCGGCTTATAGTCCGGAAATTACGGTTATTTATTTATTTTAGTGTTAATATTTAGTCAAATGGCGACAGCGAGTGAAAGTCATTTTGAACTGGAGTAACTGAGAGAAAGAAGGTAATATCAAGCATTAACTTATTGTTCTCTTCATGTTTTCCAGCCGTCCTGGGTGATCCTCTCAGTCCGATGTGGAGACCTGTTACCGTATCCTCCCTCATCAAGTCCAGAATACCTCACATTGTTGTCATTGAAACATCTGTAATAATAACAGCACAATATTAATGATTAGAATTCCAGAAATTTAGAAAGGGTTTTCTTAACCTTCCTGGCAGTCCGACCCCTTTCTGAAGTTTTCGAACCTGCAAAGCGCTTTCTGTCTGATCGTAGCCTGATTCTTCTTTTTTAACGTTTCATAGCGGTTGGCATTACCGCCACCTACTGGATTAAATAGTGCAAAATATTTACAGTGTCCAACCAAAGTGATTACATCCACAACTGTAGTCTGTCTAGTTATTTTTAAGTTATTTGTTTCTATTTTTGTGTCTATAGCAGCATTCTCGCAACCCCCCTGGGACCAGGTTGCGACCCCCAGGTTAAGAACCACTGTTCTAGGGGATTCATTAGAGGATTATAGGACATTCATTGGAATTCATTAAAATGTTTCAGTGAGAGTGGCATCACATTTTGTTGTATTTTTCCATAACTGAACACACCACAGAGTTACTGGATTCTCCCCAGAATCAGGACAGATATTCTTTGGAGTGACAGCTTGTCTTCCCAAGGTGTGTGTGTATGTGTGTGTGTTCAAGAAATCTATTTTAATATTGACTAATTTTGCAGGAGTTTCAGGAGATGGAGGCCATCTACTTTTATTTTGGAAGTCTGGCATCTTAAGCTTATTAGTAGGGATGTGCCAAATGTTCAGCAACTGAAATGAATTGTCCGAAAAATGGCTAAAAAAGCGCTTTCTGTGTTCGGCCTAATAAGTCAAAAGACATTTTGCCAATCAATTACGTTGACATTTCGGCAGTGTTGAAGCATTTTAAAGTGTCTAAGAAAGACGCAAGAATTTCCGTTTGTTAGCACATCCACTCCATCTGTGGCTGACTTCTTAGAAAAGGCAACAAACGGTCTGACCCGCTTTGAGTGTTTCTGTCACTCGTTTCTGAGAATGTGATTAAGCTAGCTGCACCTAAATTTGGAGTGCACATGTTTTCAAGCCTTTAGGGTAAATCACTGAAACGGCCCAGTGCGAGCTGACAGGCAGGTTAGCGACTTTGTCCTGTCTGTTTGTCTCTTTACAAAGACAAGTGTTGCAGGATGAGAGTCCTACCTGAAGAGAAGCTATTAAGTCTTCATGTTGCGCGATACGAGAACCACATACAACATTATTTATCATATTGGGTCGGACTTGTGGATACACGTGACAACATCCGGTTTTCAAAATAAGACAGGATGTAAACAGTATGGAAATAAGATTAATTGGATCATATTCACAGAAAGTATAAAACATATTACATGTGTACAATAAAAGTAAATGGACACATGTAATTTACTTCACCGGACCCTCTCGGGCCTCGGACCCCCCCACCATAGTCTGGGAAACACTGAGGAAAAAGCACATTTTGACTATTTCATTTATGCAATGGTAAAAAAAAAAAAAAAAAAAGGGAAAATAAATGTAAGAAACTATAAAAAACCTTGTTCGGTATTCTGGAAAGTTTTTTGACTATATTCAATTTCAGCTTCGGCCAAGAATTTTCATTTTGGTGCATACCTACTCATTGTTGTTTCTGTCTTGCTGTGTTTCTTGGTGCACAGCTTCCAGATGATCTCAACACTTTCTGGGCTTACATAACCTTTTATGGAGGAGAATGTCAACTTAACCTCAACAAGAAGGTCACCCACTTAGTTGTGAAGGAGCCGAAGGGGGTAAGTGCATACCCTGTGTGTAAGAATGATCTGACTTTACCATCAGTGCTGATCTCATGTTAGCTATGTTTACACAACAAATGTGATGTACAAACACATTTTGTTGACGCACTTAAGCAAGTGGAAATGAACCATTATTACGTCCATCTTTATGGGCACTTCTAACTGTATTATGTATTTTTGGTTTTATTTTTCCCCTCCAGGCCAAGTTTGAGTGTGCCCTGAAACACCCTGGCATCAGGATTGTCACACCGGACTGGATAACAGATTCTGTTAAAGGTAACTTTTGTGCTGTCACTGATGTTTATGCTTTCATTTTACTTTTTGGTGTGCATAGTTTGGTTATTTTTTTGCAGACCGAGTTTCCATTCAGATTTGATTATGATGTGCTGTGATGTTTATTGTTGATTATTGTCTTAATAGATGGATTCTTTGGTCTGCAAGATGTCATAAATATTGAAAAATGCCTGTTATAATGTCCCACGGCCCAAGGTCATGTATTCAGATTCCAAACCAGCACATAAAAAAACCAGGCATGAAAACTCTTTCCTTTCGGTGAACTTTGCCGTTTTGAAACCAAAATGGGTCAGCTACGTGATTTGTGCAGATCCTATGAGAAAATATTTTAAGGGAGCCAATGTAAAACACGTGTGATGTGATCAGACCTCCTGGTTCGGGTTAAAAGCCGAGCAGCTCAGTTCTGCACAGTCTGTAGTCGTTTCCGGAGCCGTGTGAGTCTACCTGTGTACCCCGGTGTGGTATCGGGGGCCCGTGGCGTATAGAGGACCAGAGTTTGAAATTAAAGGGACTTGCGGTTATGGAGATCTAAAAATGTATGTCTATGGCAGTGTGTGTTATTTGATATACCATTAATAGCGCCACCTAGGCCGATTGATAAGATAAGGTCGCCGAGTTTGGTGTATATCGTTGATCGTGTAGACATCGCACCGTAAAACAAAACTTATGTCGCCTTGGCAAGAGCACGGTGGTGCCTGATCAGAAGGCAGCCGGTGTTCTGCCAGAGGACCACAGACAAGGTAACAGTAACAGCAACTTTAGCATTTAACTGAAATCATGATTGATTGTTGAGTTGAAGCCAAAGTAAGCTGAAAATGTGCACACGTGTTTGTTGTTCTCCTTTTTGGGCCGTGAGTTGTAACCTCACAGTCAAGAGTTAACTGGGTGTCGGGGAGCCGCAGCTTTTAACTCCAGCTCTCTCTGTAGCTCAGACAATCCCTGTTACCTGCATGTGCTAATCCATCCTTTCACTCAGATTCTTTGTCTTTATAATGGCCATCTTTATAATAACAAACAACAGCTGTTTCGTGTGCAGGGTTGCTCATTTCCCGTTTAACATTTCACGTGTGAACATGGTTTGGAGACCAGCGTCGGGTGACACAGCCGCTGTCAGCTCCTGTAGTGTGTGTGTCCCTGTCACCGATCAGTGACGTAGTGTGAATGCCACAACGACTTCAAGTTGTGTGAACGGCATGGCCATCAGAATCGTTGAAATAATCTGTCGAAGTTTCGAATACTAAAATCATTGTTAGCTGCAGCCCTATGATGTAGCGAACAAAGTCTAGGCTGAGATGGGCGTGGCCTATACCATCCATATCCATCCCCCAACGTTATATAAAGTTAAGATGTAAGGTTTTTGATATGTGCCTTTGTATGCAGGAGTTCCAAGTCCAAAAGCGTTGACCTTGCTAATAGCGCTCCATAGAGGTAGAAGTGAGCGAATTTTTCCCCTGCCGTTGTCTCATGGGTCTGAACCTACCCTGTGAGTTTCGCATCCGTAGCACTTAACGTTTAGGCCGCAGTATCAGTTTTAGGCCAAAACGTACTGTGTCAACCTGCAACTGCCAGGTTGCACCGCCCTGTAAACACCCACTCCTAATCGTACTCACTCGCTCAGTCTCTCCCTGGTAAATAGCAGGTGGGGTAAAAAGTGAAGGGGAAGAGACGATCGAGAGAAGCAGAGTTGGAAGCGGCGGAGCAACTCTTTGTTAGGTGAAACGAAAAAAACTGAGGTAGTTAATCCCGTTCGAGTCAACGTACCGGCCACAAACTACTCCACCCCTATACCACCGCTGGGTATAATAATCACCGCTGTCCAGTTTTCCCGGTTGTAAGTCCAACAAATCTGCTTACTAGGCCAATTTTCTTAGTTTTTCCTAGGCTGATTTGTGATGGATTGAATTTATGTTGCTACTTTAGTTAAACTGGACTGAACTGCGGCTGATGTGCATTTTGACTTGATTGCTGTGTGTTATTTTGAGATTTGCTTTTCTTTTGTGGATTGATAAAATACAAAAATACTTCTTTCAAGCTGAACCTTTGAGTGCTGGGTTTTCTTATCACACTGTTGTATATTTCAGTGCGAGGGTGTACATTTTATGTGTGCGTCCTTTGTGACATTTGTGTAGTAAGCCTAAAAATCTTAAATGCCAGGAGAGAGACCTGACTGGCACCCCTGTAAGAGAAAAAAAAACTAACACTAAAAGTCAAACTGTTAAAAATCCTAATGTAAACAATAGGGTTCCCAGCCCCGCTGGTACTGGGAACCGCGATGCCTTGTATTTGGCGGGTTCCCAGCCCACTCTGGTTTGGACCCCATTAAAAAAAAATAATAATAATTTCAATAGGGACCTCACACGGTTCGTGCTCTATCTAAAAGAATTAATACAAAAATTGTTACTCGTTCCCTCTTTCCACCTTTTACAGACAAAAGCAGGAAGGATGAGGCGCTCTATCACCCCAGACTCACGTACACGGAGCTCGAGGAAGAGGAGGAGAGCGAAGCAGAGTCATATGACCAGCACTCCCATTCTGATGGAAGCTACAGCCCCCAGCGATCCCGGATGTCCAGCGGGGGCTCGTCTGGTGAGGAGTCCAGCCCCCGCAGACGACCAGGACCCAAAAAACTGAACTCCGTCTCCCCGACCTCCCCCCGCAAACCTGAGCGCCGCAGCGAGCGCATGTTTGACGACTCTGACGATGACTTCTCCTCAGAGAAGGAGGGGACCAACCTAAACTGGACACCAGCTGAAGTCGCCACACCGACCCCAACTATTTCAACCGGCCCTACCAGGCGGCGGGGTGGGCCACCCAGCAGCAAAGACCCAGTGTCTACAAGCAGTGCGCTGATCAACCTGTGCGCGACTGTGCCCCCTGTACCGGGCAGTGGAGGAGGCATGCCTCAAGAGGCTCGCTCTGCTGCTGCCGCCATCAGTCACACTGCACAGCAAGGTCAGTATATCAGGAAAGTTACAAAACTCTTCCACATGGCCTCAGTCAGACTATGATCTCAGCTTTGAGGTCAGATTGTGGGGTCTGCTATGTGTGTATGTAGCGCTACGATGGAAGTGTTATCCATCTGAACCACTTCAGTGTTAAAGTAATAATAATAGTAATAAATAATACATTTAAATAAATAATAATTAGTAATAATAGCTTTATTTGTATTGCAGCACCTGACAAAGCAGACTAAGTAAAAGTAGTATTCTCAGAAGGCAATATAACAGAAACCTAACATCCAAACAAAAGCAAGACAAAATTAAGATAAAGTTAAAACAAGTAATAAATAATAGAAATGACATAAATGTGATGAAAAAATATGGTGGTAACAGTGTCAAGTAATATGTAATTCTACATTGGACGCTGTTTACTTGGTGTGTAGAAGTGGGTCGTAGCAGCAGTCTCACTGTGACAATGTGGTCCTACATTTTGAAGCAGATAGTGTTTGGTGTCCAAAACTCTACATGAGCTGGCACCACAGTGACATCTGTGATGACCATTTGAGTTGTTGACCAAATATTTCACCATTTTTTTTCTCACGATTGACCCGCATTTGGACCAGTCCAAAACCATACAGTGTGTAGGTGCTTCAGGGAGGAAAGATTCTGATAACGTGTTCATTGATCATTGCTATCAGTTGGATTTGGTATGTTTAAAGTTGTTAAACAATCCTTCAATCCTTATGAGCTATCTTGGCTAACACTCCTGCTGATCACAGTATTTAGCAAAAACGGTAATGTAAATTTTCACTTTTAATTTATGTTTTAAAATGTACTGTGCTTAGGTCAGTATTTAGCTTAAGCTTGTCAGGTGTGCGCAAATGCACTGCTCAGATCTTAAGTGTTGTTTCTCTGACTTTCTATCCCTAGTTATGTCCCTAAAGCTCGTACTCTAAACTGAATTTAATATTAACCTTCCTAATAAATAATGACATTGTCCAGTGGCCTACCGTAAGTTTAAGACCAGTAAAGCTCTCATAAAGCTCCTGTCTCTTTAAGGCCCCCCCTCCCACTTTTTTCTGATTGACCAACTTCCTGGAAGCATCCTGAGGGCCAGGACGTAGCTGGCACTACAGAAAATGTTTTCAGTTTTTTCATCTGATGTCTTCAGACAGTTGACAGATGTCTTCTAGGTTTCAAGATGGACAGATAGCTTTACTTGTTGTTAGTAGTTACTTTAGCCACTTACTACTGCTAATGGTAGCTGCTACTAGCTAGTTAGCTCAGTTTGCCATGCAGCTAGCCGTCCTGTAGCTGACTACCCGGACTGGAAGCTTGGTGCTTGGAGTGTTGTTGTTTACACCTCTAATGTTAGGACAGGAGCTTTGTACCGCTAGGAGCTCTCAGTTCAGGCAGAGTCCGCTGATGACGGTAGCTACAGTTAGCCTCAAATATATTCTGGAGCGGATACAAACACAGGCAGCTGCGGACCCCACGAACACAGACTGCTTCTGTTTATACTACTTTCTGGAGTCAGCTTGGCAGACTCGTTCCATACAAACGCAGTAGATCGGTTGGTGCCAGGCATGTGGACGTCCACACAGACCCTATGCGTACCCCCTCTGATGACGATTATTTTGTCATGTGGACCCTTGTGTACTCGCGGACGCGGAAAATATAATCCTTGCTTTAGCTGTAGCTAGCGGTTACTGTAGAGTTAGTAAAAAGTAATGCTGTCTGCCCATCAGGAAACTTCATAAATCACAGAGTTGAGGCAGAGCAGCCAGAGGACATCAGAGGGAAAACCAGAATATTTTCTCTTTCATCCATAACTGTAAAATCACTTTGTGAGACACTTCACAACTTCGAGCTCTAGCTCACTGATGGAACGACCGCTTGGTAACATGTTGGATGATGGCGCTGACAGCGGTGTTATTAGTTTCTAACTCAGTATCCTGTTGATGAAGGTTAAAACTCATTCTGTTTTTTAGGTGTATCAGTTCCAGAGGGTATCCCCGGGTGGAGCCCGGCTGCTAGAACTCTCCGCAACATCACCAACAACTCCGACATGCAGCCGGCCAGTCGACCTGCCAACGTAGCACATGTAAGAAAGCTCAACCGTTCTCCTCACATTTCTTACAGCTGTGCGTCCACTCAGTTTTCCCTTTCCACAGTCACTGTTGCAAATTCTACCTGAAGAAGCCTATCGTACCGTGACTGACATTAGGGCTGTGCGATATGACGTATCTATCGTTTGATGATAGAAAGACATCTTTCATTTACATTTATGCTCTATTGTTTATTTCATTGTGTTGCAAATTCCACACTTTACTGTAATATTTTCGCAAGGGGAGGGTGCTTTGCATCGTTGTGAAGTTAGTTTTACATTGGATATTCAACAGCCTATGCAATATCCAACTTGAAACTTACTTCACCGTGGTCCAAATCTTCCACACATGCTGGTGTTGTGGAAAAGAAATTTGCATTCAGAATAAACAAACGTGGAGGAAAGAGACGTTCACTCAAAACTGGGTAATACTGAACAGGAGGACTCAGACCATGCAAACAAAAACGAGGAGCACATACAAAAGAAAGAAGTCTGTTAAGCTTTTCATAAAAGAGCAGGTCTAGACCGTACTCTGTGATGTTATTTAAAGAAGCCCAACAGTTCCCACCAAGAGCAGCACTAGGAAACAGAGGCAAGGAAAAACTTCCTTTAAGAGGCAGAAACCTCGAGTAGAACCATGGCTCAGGGTGGGCGGCCATCTGCCTCGACCGGTCGGGTGTGAAGGAGAGAGAGAGACAGGGAGAGAGGAGGCAGCCTACACAATACACACACAGAGGTACAGACAGTAAAGGTGATGTTGCTATAGACTAAATGAAAAATGGTACAGATATTTATAGTAGTGTTAATGATAACAGTCGTAATGTTAATGATTATAATAACAATAATAACAATAGGACTAGTAACAATAGTCGTTGCAGCAGAGGTTGTCGAGCAGGAACACAGGGGCAGCAGGTGACCCGCAACCACAGATCCAGACTCCACAGCTCCAGAGCCAGAAACACCTGCTGGAAGTGATAGGAGGAGAGAGGAGAGGGACGAGAAAGCACAAGACTACCGGAAAGGGGAGAAGTTGTGTTAGTAACATGCAATAATAGGATGAGGTTGCATACAGAGGGAGAGAACGTTGCTTACATGACATGTGTGTCAGGTAACGTTTAATGACCCGCTCATGGTCATTCAGCTTACTGTCTAGTTCACTAAAACCTGCTGTGTCACTGTCTGGAGCTGCTGTGCTGCTCTGTGACCGTCTCGTCCTCTCATGTTAGCTTTGCAGCATCAAATAAGTTTGCCGCAGTTTGCTGCTCACCCACAACCTAGCTATCATTAGTTACATTACTTGCTGTTTCGTTGTTCACTCTATATCAGGGTATTTGTCATGGTCTTGGATTTCTCCAGAATCACGTAAGTTACTCCACCTTTGTGATGCAGAGAAATATCAGGACTTTCTGTTGGAAATTACAACAGTAACTCCTGAATTTACAATAAATGGTCTATATTGGGATACGTATCGTTATCGGGATATGAATATTTGGTCATATCGCACAGCTAACTGTAACTAACCTAATAATTCTGGTATTGCTGAATATAGACTGGTGATGACATCCAGATTAAAATTCTGATAACATGTAGATCAGAGCTTTCTCTATGTTTTAAATTCTTTGTCTTTGTCTGCCTGTTGCAGATTATCCAGAATCTGACAGCCAATCAAACAAAGCCATTGGAACAGCAGACCAATCAGAGCCATGCTCAGACCCCTAACAGCACCAACCCTCTTCTGTTCAGTCAGTCCAAACTAACCACCCAGCCCCTCACCGCAGAGCAGCAGCAACAGTTACTGCAACAGCAACAGTCACACCAGGCTGCCCAGCAACAACACCAACAGTTACCACAGCAACCGCAGCATCCCATGATGCATCTCCAGCAGCAGCAGCATCAGATGATGCAGCTACATCACCAGCAGCAACAGTCGCCGGTTACACAACAACAAGGGTTCCCACAGTTGCCCCAACAGCAGCAACAGTTTCTACAGCAACAGCAGCAAATTCACCAACAGCAGATGTTTTCACAGCAGCAGCAGCAGCAGCAGCAGCAGCAGCAGCAGCAGCAGCATGCCTTCTCCCAGCAGCAGCTGCGTCCCCAGCAGCTCCTCCGGCCTGGTTTACAGCAGCTGCAGCAGCAACAGGTGCTGCAGCAACAGCTCCAGCAGTTCCAACAGCAACGCATGCAGCTGTTACAGCAACAGCAGCAACAGCAAAATCAACAGCAGCTACACCAACAGCATCTGCAGCAGCAGCAGCAGCAGCAGCAACAGCAGCATTTCCTACAGCAACAGCAACACATGCAGCAGATGCAGCAGCAGCACCTGCAGAACCAGCAGCAGCAAGCTCTGCAGCATCAGAACCAGCAGGCCCTGCAGCAGCAGCAGCAGCAGACGACGCTGCAGCCGCAGCTCCAGCAGCCTCCTCACGTTTCCCAGCTGTTTGGACACGAGCCGGGACAAGACAGTGAGTGCATCCAGAGTCAGAATGGAGGGTTATTATGGTCACTTCAGACCTCAATGTTTCATTGGTCTAACACGTTGGTTCAGAGACAAACATACTGTAAGTCTGGACCAAAGTGTCAGAGTGTTCTGGAGTGCTCAGTTCCAGGTGCGGGTCCATTAAAAGATCTCAACATGGTTTTGTTGAACGTGCTCATTAACTCGAGTAACTTCTTTCTGTTCTAATTCTCAGTTCCACTGGATGGCTTCCTGCTGGGCTGTGTGTTTGCTATTGCTGACTACCCAGAACAGATGGCTGACAAACAACTCCTGGCCACATGGAAGAGGGTATTTTTTCCCAAATTCCGTGTTTTCTGTTTAAATTTTTCTGAATTCTGTGTTTTACAATTTAAACAGATTTTATCATCAGAAAGAGTGTGTAATCATGTGGTTAATGAATAAAATTTTAACAACTCAATAAGAAAATATTATAAATGTAATCAATATCAATGACTTTGATGGATCAAACCAAATGTGCACAATAAATCTCACACCTATGCAATCTCATGCATAGGTGTGGAAACAAAAGCCCCACCTTTCTGTTTCACCTAGATGTACCAAATTTGGGGGGCACATGTATCATGTCCACCTACTATCAACAGGAAATGCAGTGTTTCCCCTATATACATTCAGGAGCAGCGGTGTGCTGCTGCTGAATAATGACCTCCACTACTAAAATTTGACACAATCATCAGAATCAGTTTTATTTGCCAGGTATGTGTACACTAGGGCTGGGCCATATGGCCAAAAAGTCATATCCCGGTACTGATAGGCAGAATTCCGGTATAAAATATACAGCGGTATTTTCTGCTAAGCTGGCTGGGGAGGGGGGCGTTTAGGGTAAGGGTTAGGGTTATAATGGTAATTAGGGCTTAAGAATCACTCACTTATTGAATTCACCTCCTTCAGTTCACTTTCCACTCACAGGCCTAACGTCTCCGCTGCAAACACGTCAGTGTTCTCCGCTTCTTCTGCCGTTTTTCCATTACAGTACCAGCTCGACTTGCCTCGGCTCGACTCGGTTTGGCCGTGCTCCGTTTTCCATTGCAGATAGTACCCAGAGATAGCACCCCTCAATGTAGCTGGTCATCAAAGCGACGCCACACGCAACTGCTGCGATGTAATGTTCAATAAGACACACGCACCAGCGATGCACAAACAGCTGTCTCTTGAATTAAGTTTAAACATTTCAATATTACTCTGAATGTAAAGACATATAAGACGAAGGTGATACAAAAAAAAGTACGCGGTAGCAGGTACAAGTACAACTTTTACACAATGGACAACCAAAAAAAGACAAGACCAGTCCAGCTGGTACCGCGCAGTGGAAAAGGGGCTGTACCGTCTCTCTCTCCCTGTATGTCCGCCTCGGTGACTTTCTCCATCAGTAGTAGGCTAGGCTGGATAAAGTCACTGAAAAAAACTTCCGTTCGCAGCAGCTGAGCTGCATGTTGAGGAGGCGTATTGACGTGGTAGCTAACGTATAACATCTGACTGGTGTGTTCACTGTTGCTTTACCTGGTCTGCTCTTGTAAAATATCCACAGTGTTGGTACTTGTAACGTAATCACCGTGTTTCTTTGATAAATGCTACAATGTGTCGCCTAACCAGGGCAGAGTAAAGTGAATGTGTGGGAAACACTGAATGAACCGTGTACTTTAACAGTGTCGACCAGCACTGTGTCTCCCATCTTGTTGAGAGTTTGTGAGTAGACGGCTGCGTGCAGACACAGAGGGAGGGGCGGGGCTGCGCGGTGAGGGACAGAGAGGAGCAAACGCTGGCAGGACTTTACAGAAAGACGAATTACCTCAACATCAAACTATATCGGTATAAACGGTATTGTCTAATTTCATGTCGCTTTTGAAATTATATCGGTATAACTCATTATACCCATTAGGGCTGACCCCCAATAGTCGAAAATTCGATGCTTCGATGGGCGGAGCCTGATTCGACTGTCAATCTCACAGTCGAAGCTTCGCAGCGAAACAAGGATCATGCCATTTTGGCGATATGGGGGTGCTCAACGTCTGATTTTACATAGACCAGTTTTCTCCCAATAAGTTAATATACAGCCTATTACAATATACATTTCAAAGTTTAATGCTGTAAATCAGCATGTAAAAAGAACAAAACTTTCACTAAATGTTTTTAAAGTGTGTAAATAAATCCAAAATTGTAACCCTAACCCTGGTTCGTCTGTGCGCATGTGTAAGCATAGCGTGTGTGTGTGAGGAACACTTGCTTAAGAGACGGAAATGCTAACTCGTGGGATTTTCGAATAATTTATCACCGTTGATGAACCACACAAAGAATATTTTATCGTTTTTAAATAGCCGGCTACTTGAAATAGACCCGCAAGGGACCGCAACGTGCATGTAGTTGTCGGCAGCACGGTGTGCACGCAAAACTCACACAAGACCAATGAATGACAGGTGAGAGAGAGAACAGGGTCTTCAAAAAGCCTCAGTTTAGCTGGAAATTTACAGTGCAGGTTGAATGAATAGAGACTGCAGCTCTCAAGATTAAAGCGGAGCTACCGTGAGTAAACCCCCCCCCCCCACCTTCTGAGCTAAACATGCACATGAGTATACTTTGTTCTGGGCCGCCATATAATGGCTTGAAAAAAAAATTTGGCCCGATGCCAGACTTATTTGCCAACCCCTGCCATAGAGGGTGATGCCCAAAACCTGCTGTACCATAAATATAAAATCACTTTGGAGAGCATCAGAACCAGCCAAATAACTTTCCCCAAATCTGAAGGTTTTAGTTCCTCCTCGGTAGACTGATCTTTGGGTGTTGGTTATTTATTATCTGCTCTAGCTTTTCCAACTATCTGTTCAGAGATATGGTGAAAATAATGGCCCAAGTTTCTACTAATATCCACGCAGTAAAGGTGGTAGTGGTACACACACCAATGAAAATGAATACTAGTACTAATAATAATAGCAATATTAATGCTAATAATACTAGAACAAATAATAATGGTTGTAGCCGAGGGTGCCAAGCAGGAACATGGGGATGACACAAAGCGACAGAAGAAGTGAGGAGAGGGACGATTCAACACAAGACTACGGAAGAGCGAAGAAGTCGAGTTAGTAACATGCATTAACCACATGAACACCTATTTCCAGGAAAAACACCTAAAATAACATACCCCAAATAAATCAGTAATATCTCCTCTACCATCAGGCCTAGATGCATAATTCTGGTCTCCTTTGAAAGGTCAGAAGCTAAGGAATATAAATCCATTGTACATTAACATATTTATTTTACCATTATAGACTACATGGAGATGACATGCAGAAAAAATGATATTTTCATCCTTGCCTGGGGAAAAAAGCTATATTTTGATGCAATAAACCATCAAAACCATCATAAGGTAGATTATAATGCACCAGAATATCTTCTAATACACCTGGAATCCAACTGTAACTATAAATTTCATGAAAAGAAACTAATATACAACAGTTATTCCACAATCTTTCAAAAATATAGCAGGCGAATGTCCATGTTTTGGCCATATTTACTGTTTATATGTTCAATTTTATTGGGAGTTATCTTCAAAACATTATTTCTCTCCATACAACCACCTTCCAAATAACATAAAGCTTCCAAAACATTGAAATATTGATAAAAACGATAACAATATTCCTGTGAACAAAAGCACTCCCATGCTTTACAGGCCACAGCTTGAGAACAGAACATCCTACAGGGCTGTGAGTGGGCTCATTTTGTTGGTCTACGGGTCGCCAGCAGAGGCCGATAAAGGCCGCCTCCGCCAAACAAACTCTTCTTCTGTAGTCGTATCTGACAACAAAAATCGATTACGATGCACGCCGCTGTGCTTGCAGTAAAAGAGATGTAAGGGTGTGTGAGTGTGGGGAAAAGCAAGGTGAGCAAATTCAAGTAGTGAGAAAACACTAAATCATAAAATAAGGTGGAGAATGAAGTACAATTAAAATGGTGAAATAAGAGATAACCTACTAGAAAAAGAAATATACCCCGTCGCCCCCTGTCGACCGAACTCCGGCTGCGGTGCCATGGATGCAGCATGTTCTATCATGCCGGAGTTGCGAGGGCCTGTTCATTGCTTCTTGCAACTTTAATCTGTTTGGAATAAATGACCAGCCGTTGATGCTGTGAGTGGTTGTATTAATGATGAAACAAGTGAGTCATCACCTGTTGGATATCGAACAGGTGTCTGAGTGCTTAGCATCATAGATGAAGCAAAATGATAAACATTGATGTGCATTAGTTTATGTTTACTAAACTCCTCCGTCAGGTCATCCAGGCGTGTGGAGGTGCTGTTGACCCCACCCTGACCAGCCGCTGCACACACCTGCTGTGTGAGAGCCAAGTCAGCAACCTGTATGTGCAGGTAAGGACTTGTTCAATTCAATTTTATTTATATATCTCACAGCGCTTTTCATAAAAGAGCAGGTCTAGACCTGTTACAGGTACTCTGTGATGATATTTACAGAGCAGCACTAGGTTTTAAGAGGCAGAAACCTCGAGCAGAACCATGGCTCAGGGTGGGCGGCCATCTGCCTCCACCGGTTGGGGGTGAAGGAGAGAGAAAGTAGAGGAGAGATCCCCGGCAGTCTAGGCCTATAGCATTACATTTACGTGACAGTTTTATCCAAAGCGACTTACAACTGCTATACATGTCAGAGGTCACACAGGAGTTAAGTGTCTTGCTCAGGGACACAATGGTGGATGGGTCATAGTGGGGGATTGAACCTGGGTCTCTCACACCAAAGGCATGTGTCTTAACTACTGCGCCATCACCACCCAGTTATAGCAGCATAACTAAGGGATGGTTCAGGACTCACCTGAGCCAGCCCTAACTATAAGCTTTATCAAAGAGGAAAGTCTTAAGCCTACTCTTAAATGTGGACTTGTGCTATCAGAAACCCATCATCGAATAACAGAGGGAGTACATACCATATATGACACAATATAGAAAATACACCGGTCAGAAACTCTACCTGTTGACAGTTAAAGACAGAGCATCTGAAGAATGAATTTCTAGCTTGAAGAGAAAGGGTAGATTACTGACAGCCTGTCGAGCTGCTCTGCTCCTTGATTTTATTTAGTTTAACAAAGTTTGATTCAAAAACTGTCATCTCTGTCACTGATGTTGATGTTTGTGGTGTTTTGTCTGCCAGGCACTCAGAGAAGGGAAGCGCTGTGTAACAGCCCACTGGCTTAACACTGTACTGAAGAGGAAGAGGATGGTACCTCCTCATCGGACGTTACATCTGCCCTTCGCCTTCCCTCCAGGAGCCAAACCCTGCTCTCAGCACGTACGTCCAACTCCCACAAACAACTGCCACATTGGTTCACACAAGCATGTTTGTCACCAGCCTGAAAGCTGTTTGTGTACGGGATGAAGAAAACTACGTCTCCATTTAATTATTTAGGAGATGAACATTTTTTGCAAATGTTTTTTCCTTGTTGTTGTCGTGGAACTTCCCAGCTTATTGAACCAGGTGAAAGTCTTAATGATATTGTGAATTCAAGAAGTCTCCTTTGAAACCTGAACCACTTCAGTGACATAGATATGTGAAAGGAAGAGAACTCTGACTATCTTACGCCACCTTATTAGCTCCTTCTGTGAAGAAGAATCCAGGATTGGGTCAGGTCGCATTTAAAAAGATCCAATCTGTATCGGATTTGGACCACATCCGAACTGGAAAAGATCAGATTCCATGTGAATTGGGCTATTCACAGATCAGATCTGAGGATTTGGGTCACTTTGGCTTGCAGTCTGAACGTAGCCAAAGAGAAGCAGTGACCTGGACAGCCTCGTATACGTCCTACTCTCACAATATAACTTTGATATTATTCTTACACTTTGGAAAGTGTAGAAATATTATTTTTTACCATTGTATGTTTCTGACATCTCTGTACTCTTAACCTTTCTGTCACTGTCGTTCCTCTTAGATTATATCAGTGACAGGTTTTGTGGATGCTGACAGGGATGACCTGAAGTTGATGGCCTACCTAGCCGGTGCCAGATACACTGGATATCTGTGTCGCAGCAACACCGTGCTCATCTGTAAAGAGTAAGATTGTCATCCACAAAAAACTTAAACTTTCCAGGATGACCTACCTGCCAGATTTAAGTGTTTAAATCTGTTTAAAAGTGTTAGATTTGCACAACCCAGGCATGATGGCCTGTCAGGACCAGGTACAGTGTTGGTGATATTGTCGTCTTGCTGATCTCTCTTCAGACCAAGTGGGCTGAAATATGAGAAGGCTAAGGAGTGGAAGATCCCATGTGTGAATGCCCAATGGCTGTGTGACATACTGCTGGGAAACTTTGAAGCACTGAGACAGATTCAGCACAGCAGATACTCCATCTACACACACCCTGAACCACTGGTGCCTAACCCACAGCTGGTCCAGAACCTGCTGGGTATGTACACCTCAATGTGCTATAATTAAGTTTTATTATAGTGGGGCAGTTGGCAAATAGTGATAGAATAAGGAAGGGTAAAAAAAAAAAGCAAATAACATGCAGTAAGCCAGGCAGTTATCACACACACACTCCTCTGTTGCAGTATGCTTGGTGGAGTGTGTTGTTTTTTATAACTGCACAACCACCTCCACCTGTTAGCAGTCAGAAATTATTGGGTATTGTATGTATTATTACAGGACAGGAGTAACAGTCAGGCCTTGAGCTTGATATATCTAAAGAATATTTAAACATCAGTGATAAGCTGCCAAACTGTTTATGCCTTGGTGTGTGTGTAAATGAAACTGTGACTTATATTTTTCTACAGCTGCTTGGAGAACGCCGATCAAAGTATCTCCCGAAGCTTTAGCGGTGAGTTTCTCAGCTGAACTCCACAGTGTGCTTCCAGGGTTTTTCCTGGCTCAGAATGGGGCTATGGGGGGTGACTTTGCGCGACAGTAAGCATGGCTGGTACGCGTACAGTAAAGGAAATGACTTAATATATGCATTTTCTTGTAATTTCTGACCATTTGATAAACAAAATATATCCACAACCTAGAGGAATAAAGGTATAAAAGTAAAGTATAATGTTAGTATAATAATATATTTACAGGTTACACTTGATTTGGATAATTTGCTTGCAGACAGTTTATTAGTTGAGATTCAGCTGTCTCACTAATAAAACCTTTCTCTGATATTACCCTACACCGCTGTGGTTAAGGGTTTATTAGTGCTAATGTTTGTGTATTTTGGCGTTTGTAGTTTGCTGGCTGTGGCTCAGGAGATAGAGCGGGTTGGCCGTTAATCGGAAGGTCGGCGGTTCAATCCCTGGCTCTCCCCCTGGTTGCGTGTCGAAATGTCCTTGGGCAAGATACTGAACCCCAAGTTGCCCCTGGCGGCTGTTCCGCCAGTGTATGAATGTGCGTGAATGTTAGTTTCTGTTTGAGCACTTGCATAGAGAAATTATTGGCGGCCCCCAAAGAGGTTTTAGTGAGCGCCAAAGGAAAATAACCAGCGCCAAAATGATCAGAACTGAAAAAAAGCATTTCAAATAAATAATGACCACCAAGTGCAGCATTTGTCTTGCACAATAATTTAAGGAGTGATAACAACCCACAAAAATGAAAGTGCTGTAATATTAGGCTACTAATGGTAAGCTATAGTAGACTATAGCCTACTATGATCTGAAATTATAAATGTAAATGCTCCGTACTTGTATAGCGCCTTTCTAGTCTTTTCGACCACTCAAAGCGCTTTTTACATCTGCATTCATCATTCATACACATTCATACACTGAGCCTAAGTGCTCAAACGGAAACTAACATTCGGCAATTCGGGGTTCAGTATCTTGCCCAAGGACACTTCGACACGCAACCAGGGATTGAACCGCCGACCTTCCGATTAACGGCCAACCCGCTCTACCTCCTGAGCCACAGCCGCCCCTGTTCTGAGCAATCTACTCTTTCCTCCACGTTTGTTTATCCTGAATGCAAATTTCTTTTCCGCAACACCAGCATGTGTGGAAGAACGGACCGTGGTGAAGTTAGTTTCAAGTTGGATATTAGTTTTTATTAGCTTTAAAACTAACTTCACTGCGGTGCAAAGCGCCCTCCCCTCGCAGTAATATTACGCTAAAGTGTGGAATTTGCGACACAATGAAATTAACGATAGAGCATAAATGTAAACGATCGTAAACTATTGTCAAACGATAGGTACGGTCAGATTGCACAGCCCTATATTGTGATACAATTGTGTTGAGACCCTTGTATCATGATAAGTTTTGTGCGGTCCTTAACGATACTCTAATTTGTATGGTGTTTTACAGTTTGCACTAGTTACCTTGTGTAAGAGAATGTATGTAATGTAAAAATATTGGACCTGGAAGTGGAATGTTCTTTACTCGTCTCTGGCTGTAGATGGTCTTGAAATCTGCTGCTGACTAAATGCTGCTTTTATTCTAGTGAAGATAATTATGTTGTCCTTGGATTTCTGTTAACAGAAGGGCAAACCCCTCCATGTTTGTCTCCAAATGTACAGCACATGGGCATAAAAATGAGCCAATGAGACCAGATTTGTTTTACATGTGGCTTACACAAGTTGTGCCATCAGTACTGATACAAGAGACCAAACTGGCAGTAACTGATAGATGCGGCTCTACTTGTTTTTGTGTTGCGTCGGATTGTCTGTTTGTGGATGTTTGTGTGGTGTTTAGTGTCTCCAGCTGCTCCAGAAGCAGAAGATCACTGACTCTAACAACATGCCTGCAAACAAGAAAGCCAGGTCAGTACAGGAGATCTCGATACACGCTGTTGGACTAAGCAACTGTTTAAGTTACCATGGAATGATGATATTGTGGATTAAAGTGTAATTGTGTGTGTGCAGACTGGAGGAGATTCAGTCCCCCAGTAAGAAGCTTCCTCCAGAGTCCACTCCTCGAGTCCTATTCACAGGCTTTGAGCCCACACAAGTACAGCAGTACACAAAGGTAAACCTGACTTGACTTAAGCTACATCTCTTAAATAGGATTGTGAGCAACGAGGTCACTAACTTTCTGTTCTCAACTGATTCCTGTCCTCTGATTCCTGCTGCTAAATGTCCTCATCTCTTCCTCCCCTGCAGAGGTTACATGCTTTAGGTGGTGAAGTAGCAGACAGCAGTCAGAAAGTCACTCACCTGGTGGCCAGTAAGGTGACCCGCACCGTCAAGTTCCTCACTGCCATGTCTGTGGTCAAACACATCGTCAGCCCAGAGTGGCTGGAGGAGAGCTGGAGGAGCCAGAAGTTTGTGGGTGGGTGTTTTTAATATCTTGCTAAAACGACACGAAAACTACGTCCACAAGAAAATTTTAATTAACTCCTCCGAAGCCGCAAGTCCGATCGGCACGAAACTTCGCACGTACCATCTCTGGGGCCCGGGCCAATTCGCGTGCCCTCCGTGGGGCCAGGGGGGGCGGCTTGCGCCGGGAGGCTTGGACCCCACTTATAACTGCTTGCAGTTGTAGTTATTATTATTATTAGAGAAACCGAGAAAGTGCCAGGGCACCAGCGGTGTCCTTGGCATGAAGTGCAAGGAAGCTATTATTTTTGCTCGGATGATTATTATGATTATTATTATTATTATTATTCTCCCTTGGAAAGGCATTTTTCGTGGTCTTAGGATAATCGAAACGTCATGAACGGGGATGGGGATCGTTCATTTTTATTGATATTGATACCCTTATTGAGACTGCTTAATGATCCGATTCTTTATCGATACCACTATCAATACTTTACTATTATTTGATGACGGTTATTTGGTAAGGCCAGACCCAACGGACATGAGGCAGGGCTGCATGGTATCAGGCCTACCAGACTTTAATATTTTAAATACAGCGAAATGTTGTTTCTACAGCAGCCAAATCACTATATATAAACTCAGTATCTGACATTACAATAGTGAGGGACGTTTAGAAAGAATAAAAACTCAGACATCAGCCTGTATCAGTCCCTCCTCCTCTTTGCTGCTGTTAACTGCCTTTTAGGTAACATTACCTGATGGAAGGAGGAGCGGCTGGTTTGTCTCTGCCAGCAGCTGAGTGTACAACAATGTGCCAAATGTTAAGACTACAGACCAGTCTATGCTCCAGACAGACAGCTTTCTATTTAGCTTGTTTTCAACATTTGGCTACCCGCCAAGCTAACGTTGCTGTGCTTTTATATAACATACAGGACGACAGACTGAGGACAGAGATGATAAAATGACCCCTTTCTACATGTTTACCTTACAGACAGGTGTATTGATAACGCAAAGGTTTTATTGCACTTACAGTATGTAATGAGCATAGCTGTCGCCAACTCGAGTTTGGAGCTAACGTAACTTCACCATCTCCATCGCGATGGCGCAGCCTCTCCCTCTGCTGGCGGCTTTCATGAGTTTTCTTCTAGTCCAGTTAAATCAGATTTGACGCTCGAGACATAATGCTACATTGTAGGACCCACTGGTCTGGATAGCAGTATCGATAAGCTCAGACCTTATTGATTTTTGGGATTTGAGAAATTTTGGATCAATCCCTATCCCTGGTCATGAACGTTTGCGCACATATCAGAACTGGTGAAAATTGCAATATTCTGTAGTGATTGGGCGTGGCAAGGGTGCTCTGTAGCGCCACGCCCTTTGCAGCCAGATTCAAACTGGTAATGTTTAGATTTGATATCATTTTTAAGACTGAGGGTTGCATGTTGGCTCTATAGCGCCCCTTAAAGCCTTTTTAGCTGTCACATTGCTAGGGGTAGTCACATGGCTAGGGGTAGATTGCACGTTCGTCAGAACGGTTGTTTTGTATTTGCTGATAGGGGGCGTGGTTGTGGGAAATTGGCTCAATTGACCCTTCGCTAAGCCACGCCCCCCTTAGTTACTGTTGCGAAGTCTGACAAACTTTCAGACCTGTTGGACTTGGCGATCTGAGAAAGAAGCAGACAGTTTTGCAGTTGCATTGTGCATTTGAAGGTTGTATTCAGTGTGTCAAACTGATGTGAAAAAAATAAAGACAGAAGCAAAAGCCTACCAATCACAGAGTAAAAGTGAACCACTGTATTATTATTTACTATTGAGAAAGAGTACAATGATATTAAGGATCAACACTGCTTCTGGAAAGCTGGGTAGGTCTCCATTCACTATTACAATCATTAAACAGCAGAACAGTAGGGCTATATAACGTTTAATTCAGTAGTAAGTTAGCTAGCGTTAGCTAACTAACATTACATTAGAAACAACAGACAGCCAACATTTTCCTGTATTTGTTTCACGTTTTGGAAAGTGAATAAATCGTACTTATACTTTCCACCTCTCTGGGTAGCGGCTATAACTATTAAAAGTGCCCCAGGAACAGTGTTTGACAATATCTTTGAAAATAGCGTAGCCCCCCCTACCCTATGCCGTCACCTACGACGTGCACCTCCTCAAAAATGTAACTACACGTCGAGGTGACGCGGACCATAAGCACCGTGATTGGTTGGCTGGGTAGCCTCGCAATGCCTCCAAGCCGACAAGTGCCCCATGCTTTGAATTAACTTTTACTATCGGCCAAAACAGCGGCTGTAACACGATGGATCAATAAATTTGACCGTCACAACCATATACTGCATATAAGAAATGGACGTCACCCCTTGGTTTGTGGACTGCCATTTTTCTAGTTTGGCCCGTAGGTCGCCGCCATGTCGAGTTTTTGCAACCAGGAAGTGCCCGGAAGTGACGATACGGCGGAGCTAGCTAGCTTGCTTAGCTAAGTGCAACTGTAACTCACGTTAACTGTCATTTTAACAGGGCTGATAACTTTGTCTAGCGAACAACAGTCTTAAAACTAAAGGCTAAAAAAAAAGGCTATACCAGCTGCACATATACAATTTTACCCCCATTCACGTTAAGGGAGGGCTAAACCAGAAGTTAGCCTGCTCGGCCGGCAAAGGTCAACATAGTGGACGCTGTATGCTACCGCTGACTAGCATGTAATTGCAGAATGACAGAGAAACCGACACACAAGTATAAATGCATGGCTCTGTGCGTAGCCTACGGCATAGCTATGCACGTAGCCCCTATGCAGGAGTATAAATCAAGCTTAAGTCTCTTGGAGCAGGAAGTCGGCCATTTTGAATTATTTACAAGACCTTTCCCCGTTTATACACTCCGTACTTTAACGAACTCCTCCTAGTGCTTTAACCCAATCGACTTCAAATGTGCGTTGCGCCATTTTAAGAGCCTTGCGATGTTAAATTACAAAGCGTTTTTTGATTGCGTGGTGTTGAATTTTGAGGAAGTAGCATGTAAATGGACTAGATGTAGTCAGATCTGTCCCAAAAGTACCTCTTAGAGACTTGCATATTAATATCTAGTCATAGTGATAGCGCCACCTACTGGCATCTGAAAGGACATGTTTCAAACTTTATTTGTTATGTCTCATTTTATATTTTTACTCCACATAGCACCTTAGCGGACAAAATGTAGTGAAGCATATATGCTCATAGCCGGATGACCACATCCATCTCAAAGTTCTTGTTAAATGCTGTTGCCTTGGTGAGTTATTATTCCCCATGAAACAGGAAGCTGTTTTTTGACAGCTATAGCCTAAACCCAACTGGAAGTCAGACACTTTGAATTGAATAAGTAACTGACACCTGAAAGAAACTTTGAGAGATATTTTCGACACGTCACCTGTGTGATTTGTGCATTGTTAACTCCAGAGCTGTGTCAGGTGGCATGTGATGTAAAGGCTCCAGCTGTCGCTGCACACAAGGCTTGCATGGGGGTGAGGGCTCACTCAACGCTGCTTGCAGCTTTAATAATAATAATAACAATAATTATTATTATTATTACTACGTACATGTCAGAGGTGGATGAGATATACAGGTGCACATACACATACATGCAAACATGTAAACATTGCGATGGAGCATAGTGCAAAGGATGCTGGAATAAATAAGTATTATTTGCAGGTGTTATGTATGTAGGTAGGTGGATTTTGTATACAGTAAATGACAATATAACAGTATGAACAGCTCTGAAATAGAGAATGGTGAATAAATAATAAGTGATAACCAGTAAACAGGTGGCTGATTAGAGGCAGAGTTACTGGGTTATTGCACATTATTGTTCCTGACACTGTGAGTCAGAAATCAGCTGTTCATCAGAGTGATGGCTTGTGGGAAGAAACTGCTTCTGTGTCTGTTGGTTTTGGCGTACAGTGCTCTGTAACGCCTACCAGAGGGGAGGAGCTGGAACAGGTTGTGTCTTTGCAGTGATGTTTCCTGCCCGTTTCCTGACTCTGGAAATGTACAAGTCCTGAATGGAGGGCAGGTTGGCACCGATGATCTTTTCTGCAGTCCTGACTGTCCGTTGTAGTCTGCTCCTGTCCTTTTTGGTGGCAGATCCAAACCAGACAGTGATGGATGTGCAGAGGACAGACTGGATGAGGGCTGCGTAGAAGTGGATCAGCAGCTCCTTAGGCAGGTTGAGCTTCCTGAGCTGACGCAGGAAGTCCATCCTCTGCTGAGCCTTCTTGATGATTGTGTTGGGCTCCCACTTCAGGTCCTGGGATATAGTGGATCCCAGAAACCTGAAGGATTCCACAGCAGACACAGGGCTGTTGAGTATGGTAATGGGGGGCAGATTGGGGGGGCTTCTCCTGAAGTCCACTGTCATCTCCACAGTTTTGAGCGCACCAGAGAGCCAGCTGATCAACCTCCCGTCTGTAGGCCGACTCATCACCGTCACAGATGAGCCTCACCTGCTGACTCCTGTCAGTCAGGAAGTCTGTGATCCACTGACAGGTGGAGGCTGGCACAGTGAGCTGGGTGAGTTTGGTGCTGAGGATATCCGGGATGATGGTGTTGAACGCCAAGCTGAAGTCCACGAACAGGATCCCTGTATATGTCCCTGGAGAGTCGAGGTGTTGCAGGTGTTTTTTGGGGACTGGGATGATTGTGGAGCGTTTGAAGCAGGAGGGAACTTCACACAGCTCCAGTGATCTGTTGAAGATCTGAGTGAAGATGGGGGCCAGCTGGTCTGCACAGATTTTCAGGCACGATGGAGACACACCTTCTGGGCCAGGAGCCTTCCTGATCTTCTTTTGGAAGAGCTGGCTCACGTCCTTTTCACAGATCATGAGTGCAGGTGAGGGGTTGGTGAGGGGGGGTGACAGCGTGTCAGATGGGGAAGGTGACTGTTTGAAGATGGTGTTGGAGTGGGGGAGAGGTGTGACAAACCTACAGCAGCAACCATTCAGCTCAGCTGCCAGTCATTGAGTACCAGCAGTGTTGGGGGATTGTCTCCTGTAGTTAGTGAGTGTCTGCAGTGTCTCCACACTGACGCAGGGTCATTGGCTGTGAAGCTGTTATTTAGCTTTTCAGCGTAGCTCCTCTTTGCATCTTTGACCTCTTTAGTTAGTGTGTTCCTGGCCTGGTTGTACAAGACTCTGTCCCCACTTCTGAAGGCCTCCTCCTTGGTCTGACGAAGCTGCCTGAGTTTCGCTGTGAACCAGGGTTTTTGGTTGTTGTATGTGCGGAAGGTTTTAGTCGGCACACACATGTCCTCACAAAAACTGATGTAAGATGTCACAGTGTCAGTTAGTTCGTCCAGGTCAGTGGCTGCAGCCTCAAAAACACTCCAGTCAGTGCAGTCAAAGCAGGCCTGTAACTCCTCTGTTTTTTGTAGAGCAACTGGAGTGGCCATTCAGGTCCTCCTGAAAAGAATTAGGATTTCTGAAAGGAAAAATTTGTTTAATGATTGAATTAACTGTTTTGAGTAGGCCCTTTCCCTGTTGTGTAATGTTTCACATTGTGTGTGTGTGTGTGTGTGTGTGTGTGTGTGTTGCAGATGAGCAGAGTTGCACTCTAAGGGATGCAGAGGCCGAGGTGTTGTTTGCATTCAGCCTGGAGGAGTCACTAAAGAGAGCACACAGTGCACCGCTCTTCAAGGTAAGACCACAAGCTTCACGCTGACCAGGTGGATCAGATGGAAGGAAAGATTCAGGCAACAACATGCTGTGGCATTCTTGTACACTCACACAGCTGGTCCTTCACTGCCTGACTGTCTCTGTGTCTGACTATATGTCTGTGTTCTGTAATGTGTGATGTAGGGGAAATACTTCTACCTCACCCCGGGGATCGTACCCAGCCTCAGCACCATGAAGTCCATCCTGGAAAGTGCTGGAGGAAAGCTGCTGGCCAAACAGCCCTCCTACAGAAAGATCATGGAGCATAAACAGAACAAGGTCCTTGAAACTACCTGGAATTCTTTAATGAACCTGTCAAGTGTATATCCTTAAGAACACGGGCTCTTACTGGAAAAGTTTTTACTATGCAACAAAATAAATATGGTATGAAAAGTGTTCAACAATATGCAGTGTTATCTAGGGCTGCAACGATTAGCCGACGTAATCGACGATGTCAACTATAAAAATTCATCCGCATGAAATTTCATTGTCGACGCATTGTTACAGAGAGGATGTTTAAGGGAGAGACAGCAATCTTCTTATTAGGAACATTTCTGGCTATTTGTTTCTAACTGCAATGCACTACAGGAAGTGCTGGGGGCAGTACCGCTTCCACTGTACGCCATGACTGCTCGACTGGAAGACTACTCACGAAGAAGAAGCTTTCATGCAAGAAGCGGAACGTAACGGAGAACGAGGCTAGCAGCAGAATGTATTGTACTCTTTCATCACTAAATACACTTTTGAGAGGTTCTGAGCAGAGAAATCAACTGTGTAGAACTTGAGTATTGGCCAAAGTTGATGGTGAATTGAAAATGTGGCTCAAACGTTTCGGGGGTTGAGATGCTCCACAAGCGCCCACGGGGTTAGCGATGGCAGCCGGCCGGCCAGTCACGCCCACAGAGCCTGGTCCCAGTACCTCAGACCACAGCAACAGCAACAACAGAGCTGCAGAGACAGAGGAAAGGCAGTGTTTCCTATAGGCTACGTTCATTTATTTGCCACATTAGCAACGCTGACCGCCAAATACTGATTTTCATTGTTTTTTATTTTTTTTACTAGGCCTATTTAAAATCTTATTTGATTGCAGATCAGCCCCGTAGCGCATTCGCGCGCAGCACATCCTCTCGCTTGTCTTTCTCCCTCATGAACACCAAAGCACAAATCTTTCCAACACCACGCTGGCAATGTCAGAGACCCAGCTTTAAAAAAGTTATTAGTAATGAGTAATGGTTTGAAGTACATCAAGGAACATCTGGCTCGTGATGTAGCCAGTCAGTGAATTATAGGGGAGCCTACGCTGTCTTGTCTTCTTCCCTGGTTTCCCCCTGGCGTTGATAGTGGTGTTCATTCTGAACAGTAAACCTTGTTCACTTAATTGTAACGTTAGCTAGTTAGGCTATGTATTGGAGATCAGTAATTCACTTGAAAGATATTTAATTAGTTAAATGGTTTGGTTAGGGGTGACAAAAATAATCATGACTAGTCGACTAATCGAATAAATAATTAACACATTAGTCGACTATGAAAATAATCATTAGTTGCAGCCCTAGTGTTATCCAAAGTCCTCACAGCCCATGGTAGGTGTTCAGGAATGATGATAATAATAATTTTCAAAATAAAACAAACTCAGTACTGAACATTTAAGAAAAAAACAGCAGGCACTTACAATGCTTATGATTATTTGACAAAAAAAGTTTTAATACCCTCTTGTTTTGTTGCAGAACCTTCCAGAAATCATCTTAATTTCCTGTGACAATGACCTCCACCTCTGTAGAGAATACTTCCTGAAAAACATTGGTAAGATACACACACGCATACACATGCATACAAGTGGTGAGTATTACAAACGTTTAGAAAGGATATCCCAAGCCGAGTCTACTGATCCCTGTCAGGACCAATCTGTGGCTGATGCGTTTCTTTACTGCGTTCTACTGTTTCCTTGTTTTTTGTCGCTAAAAGTTTTTATTCATTTTAATAATGTAACTGTACATACAGATTAAAATTGGGCTGCACAGCTAATCTAATCTCAATTGTGATGTGGTCATGTGCGATTACATAACTGCAAAAAGTGTGCGATTTAATATAACTCTCATCTCTGTGTGCGCTGCAGTCTCCTCATTATCCCCGCCCACACCGGGCTCTCGCATGTGTCTCTAAAACAGATAACCTTATGTGCACGAGACAGGCATAATGAAAGAAGACATGGAAAACTTAAAAATATTAGATAATATTATTTTATATCAAATAAATTGCTATAGTATAGAATAAAATTATTTTATTTATTCGATAAACTATATGAATTGAATTGTTTTTTGTAATTTCCTTTAGCTTTGGCAATACTCTTGTTTTAACATTCATGCCAATAAAGCAAATTTTGTTTTCGACCTGACTTCTTTTCTCCGTCAGATGGAAGAATTTAGAAAGTTGCGTGGCGCTTCGAGGGCCCCCAGCTGCAGTAGTGCTTAGATCACACTAAAAATTCATCCAGCCAGAGGGAACAATCACCAGCTGTTCACAGTGCGCCGGTCATAATAGCGACACAACCCATTGTAGGTATTGGAGAGGGAATGGGGCGTTGGGGCGTACAGGACCAGGGACAGGAGATCGCAGCGCGATCGGTGATTGTTCCCTCTGGCTGGATGAAGCACGATCTGCTGGCATTTCCTCGCGTCTGGTTCTTTCCAGCATACTGTAGCTGTTTCTGCTGGGGTTTCCCAAAGCAGTTTTTCAGGTGTGCTGTCCCAAGTACTTAGTGCAATGTCAGGCAGGATGGGCAGGTACATACGATTTCCACATATTGACGGACTTTACGAAACAAACCAAGGTTTTTACGTGGTGGCTGCTTTCCCTCCCGACTCTCCATGGGGAAAACCATTGAAACACGCAAAACCCTCATAAATACTGTCACCTCCATTGTGTTTGCTCCTGTTATCACCTACACAATAATTCTTAGTAAATCACCCATAACAGGTACTACAGTTGCACGTGCAATATGTTAGAATGCACACGCTATTTAGTACTCTTTATTCGGCATGTAAATCCAGCCTATAGTTGTGGAGATTCTGGCAGAGGTTGTCTGAACCACCCTTCAAACTTTGTCCGTACTGCCTTCTAAAGAGGCATTACCATGGGACAGTCCCATAGAACATGATGAAATGTACCCCCTTCTTTGTTACACTTCCAGCATTTATTGTCCTGGGTCAAGCACATTCTAAACAACCTATTCGGTGTAAAGTAATACCTATGTACAATTTTATAATGGATGAGTTTGTTTTTAGCCTTTCCCACATCTGAGATAATATCCTGCCATGAGCCTTCATCAATATCCTTACCAATATCTTTTTGCCATATTAGTCTCAAGCCTCCATACAGTTCGGGTTGCATGCTTGACATTTTCCTATAAAATACTGAGGCAGAATGGAGAACGTGGAGAATCTAGGAACTCCTGATCCCTATTTGCCTTTTCCTCTTCCCGTTTCAGTCCAAAAACACATGCCATACTACTTCTCCATTGTAAATACCTCCAAAAATCCTCCTTTGTCAGTTAAATTAAATTGTACTTTAAGGCCCTCAAATGACCTATAAAGTGTTCTCCATACAGATCATCAACAAACGGATGCCTTTTGCCAACCATATTTGCAATAACAATACCTTTTTCCCAAAACAGATTGAAGGGTTATTCTATATAGAGGAATAGCTTTGTTTGTATTGAGAAAACCCCAGGATTTCATGTGATCTCATCCTTGTCCACTGAGGATGTTATAGGATGAAATTTCATTCCTCTTCATGACTTTTAGTGTTCTTCTGTGACAATAAATCCACAACACCTGCTGGAGCTGCGAGCACTTTTTCCATCTGCACCCACCTGGGGTCAGATCCGTAATTTCCACAATGTCTTGCCAGCTTACTTATTTCAAATGCTATGTTATACAGTTCAACGTTTGGGATCGCTAATGACCTGCTGTCTCCCGAGGCAAATAACTTCTTTAGACTAGATGTTTTTTTTTCCATTCCATAAAAACTCTTTAATTAAATTGTTTGAAGATTCCTTCAAATGGACCATCCCTGAAATGGTTACTGATATCATCATAGAGATGTTATTACATTGTGGAGCGATGACCATCTTAATAATTTTCATTTTTCCCCATAGGGTAAGATTTATCAGCTTCCATTTATCTAAATTTTGTTTAATTTTCTTAATTAAAGGGGACATATTTATGGCAATTAAATATTCCAGATCTGGACCCAACCTAATACCTAAATATTTCATTCTGGTCTGGATCCACTTAAAGTGAAACGTGGTGATTGTTGATTGATTCCATCCTTTCGATTATTGGCATGCCTTCGGATTTCTGCCAATTTATTTTGTAGCCCGATAGTTTTGAAAAAGGACTTGTAGATCGAACTTAAGGAATTGACCACAGAGGGTCCTCAATAATCAGTAATATGTAATTACAAAACTCCTTTAGTACTGGACTCAGTCATCTGCTTTTTACATTATTTTTGGAACCTCTAGCTGCTGCAATAAGGATGAAGAGGATTTCCTTGCTTGGTCCCACGTGTTAAGTTAAAGAAGGGTGATGTCATCCATTTGTTGTTACTGCCGCCCTTGGGTCTGAGTAAATAACATTCACCCATTTGATAAAACTGTCCTGACATCCAAATATTCTGAGAGTATATACCGCAAGAAGCCCCTTTCCATCCTATTGAATGCTTTTTGGGCATCCAAAGAGATAGCAGTCATTCTACTTCCTACTTGATCAGGATGTATGAAATATGGCAGAATTTTTTCTAGTCTAGTGGCCAGAACTTTTGTCAGTATTTTACAGTCCACAGACTGACCGGTCTAAAACTTCCTGGATCCATAGGGTGTTTTTCCTTATCTTCATTAAATCTATCCGGAGGTGTGTTTGGGGTCTTTATCATGTTGGAATACTGCCCTGTGGTCTGCTTCAGTATGTCACAGTACATGTTGGCATTCATGGTTCTGTCAATGAACTGTAGCTCCCCAGCACTCATGCAGCCCCAGACCAGGACACTCCCACCACCATGCTTGAGCGTAGGCAAGACACACTTGTCTTTGTGCTCCTCACCTGGTTGCCGCCACACACGCTTGACACCATCTGAACCAGATAAGTTTATCTTGGTCTCATCTGACCACAGGACATGGTTCCAGTAATCCATGTCCTCAGCCTGCTGCTCTTCAGCAAACTGTTTGCGGGCTTTCTTGTGCATCATCTTTAGAAGAGGCTTCCTTCTGGGACGACAGCCATGCAGACCAGTTTGATGCAGTGTGCGGCGTATGGGCTGAGCCCTGACAGGCTGACCCCCCACCCCTTCAACCTCTGCAGCAATGCTGGCAGCACTCAGACGTCTGTTTCCCAAAGACAACCTCTGGATATGGCGCTGAGCACGTGCACTCGACTTCTTTGGTCGAGCATGGTGAGGCCTGTTCTGAGAGGAGTCTGTCCTGTTGAACAGCTGTATGGTCTTGGCCACCGTGCTGCAGCTCAGTTTCAGGGTCTCTGCAGTCTTCTTATAGCCTCGGCCATCTTTATGTAGAGCAACCGTTCTTTTTTTCAGATCCTCAGAGAGGTCTTTGCCATGAGGTGCCATGTTGAACTTCCAGTGACCAGAGAGCGATGACACCAAATTTAACACAGTTGCTCTCCATTCACACCTGAGACCTTGTAATTCTAACGAGTCACATGACATTGGGGAGGGACCATTGCTAATTTGGCCCAGTTTGGACATTTTTACTTAGGGGTGTACACACTTTTGTTGCCAGCGGTGATGTGTTATTTTGAGTGGACAGCAGATTTACACTGTTATACAAGCTGTACACTCACTACTTTACACTGTTGCAAAGTGTCACATGAAAAGGTGTAATGAAATATTTACAAAAATGTGAGGGGTGTACTCACTTTTGTGAGATACTGTATATGGCCAACCCAATCCCTCTTCAATGTAGCTTCCAGTTCACTCATATGGGTTTCTTGTATAAATGCTATTTGTACTTGTTGAGATTTGAGGTATGATAAAAATTCTCTTTATGGGGTGTTGTAGGCCATTTACATTCCAGGATAATATTCTTACACAATTATTCATGGCTCAAAAAAAGAGAAAAGGACGTGGTATTCATCACACTGAGGTGATATTTCACACGGGGGCAGTAGTAAGAAAATGAAAAAAAATAAAATAAAGGAAGGCGCTGCTTCGCTGCCACTCAAAACCGTTAACATACAATGAACTCCACTCAGAACCCCCTTAGATAACAGGGAATATAAAAAATATATAATTTTCTTTTATCAGAGAGCAGCATTAACAGTCTACGTAGAGCGGGGCCAAGCGACTACATTGTGATTTTAAGAACGTTCCTAAGACCGACATCTTCCCCAGTACTAACCAGCATGCAGTGTGGAGCTATCCACTTGGCTGTGGCGTTTGATAGCTTGTTTTGCTTTTGTTTATCTCCTCCCTCACACTGCAGCGTAGTCTGCTGAAGCCTCCCTCCACTGCTTGTTTGGGTGGCTGATTTGTAGGCTGATCAACATCCCACCCCTCCGTGACCCATGGTTCTGGATGTGTATTCAGAGCCAGTGAGAAATGTTCTTTCAAAATAATAATAATAATAATGCCCACTGCCTCTCTAGCTTAGTCAACAGGTCCGAGGATAAGTTGAAGTAGTGTAGGTTAGGTCAGTTGTTTGCCTGCATGGGTGTCCCATCTGGCGATCCCTGCACCTCCATCTCCATTTTTAGAAAGTCCATCGCCTCTACTGTGATTCTTTATTGCGTTATACTGTGTTTTTTTTACTGCATTTTTTTCTGTGTTCTATATGGATGAAAGTTCCTCAGAACTTCTAAAGTTTAAAAACAGTACGGTGAGCGGCAGCACCACATGAACTCTGTCCCATTAGAACTTGTGCTGACTGTCTCTAGGTGTGTCTCTGATGTTGTCTGCTGTATTTGTTGTCTAGATGTCCACAACGCGGAGTTCATCCTGACAGGAGTACTGACCCAGAAACTCGACTATGACTCATATCCTTTACTTACCTTTAATAAGTAACTGCTGCTTCTTGCATCATTCCTGCATTTAGCATGACAGCACCTGTGGATTACACTGACGGGGACTCCTAGTAATGTCACGCCACACAGCAGCAGTAAATAAACTGACAACAAAAGTAACGTCCTCCCTCTTATGACTGCTTATGAATGCTTTTGTGTTCAGCAAACTCAACATGTGTTGATTTGTATGAACATAAAAAGATTCAACAATTAAGACATAAACTGAACACAGTTTCACAGACAGACATCTTCAGCCCTAATGCCTCCTTGCAACATGCCTAATGTGGCATTCAGACCAAACGCAAATTTAGTCCTCACAGCGCTCTCCTTGCGGGGTTTTATCGCTGGACAACTGCCAAGTGTTCACACACAACGCGATGGCACGAATAAACACAACTCGCCATTCCTACAGCTGTATGAACCCAAACCAAACATTTTGCTGTGATTAAATAGCAATAAATGGATTAAACTGATGCCGAAATAACTACAACATGATGCAGATTTGTTAAACATACGAACACATGCTCTGTCAGCAAGTCAGCAGGACAACAACTTCTAAAATGTTTGTTTTCTGAATGGAGTTTGGATCGATCAGGGCTATGCTATGCTAACTTGGTCACAGTAAAGTACAACCATAGAATGGAATAAAGTTACAGATACATGTTTTCAGAACTCACCAGGTAGTTCAACCTCCTCGCTTTCTTTTCTCCAAGTAATGTCCAGTTTTGTCCGGTTTTTATATAAATATGAAGTAGTGCCCATCGCTCTGAAGCCTCGATGACGTTCAGACAATCTCAACGTTCATAGGCTATCGCGACTCAGCGACATGCTAATTCCTTCGCGTTGCCCTTGTGTTGCCGGCGCTGCCAGACAGGAAATCGCAGCTCTACGTGCCTTTGCATTGACTTTGTTCGGGGCGGTGAGTTTACATACACTCGCTTCGCTTTTGGTCTGAAAGCACCATTAGGCACGTTCATGCAAGTTAGTAGATATGTGTCTTTAGGGTTCTAAGCAAGGCCGTAACCAGGGTTTCAAAATTAGTGAGGTCTGGATTTTTTGTTTCTTTAATAGAGCTTATTTACAATAATTCAGTGAAGGGCAGTGGGCACAACACTGTTTGGCTGAAGAACACACTAACTCCAGGCTGTTCATCATGTTCTTCACTTCTTGGCTCACTAAAATTGCATACAATAAGAGTTATGATGAGGTAGTGTGACAAATGTGACAGGGGAATCTTGGTATAGGCCCACTAATCTAAAACTAAACATCTATTAGGGGTGTAACGGAACAGAAAATGAATGGTAGCTGCGATTTCAGTACAGTGGACAGGGCCCTAGCAATGTTAGCTATCATGCACTGCAGAGAAACCCAGAAACCTTTTAAACAGAATATCATCTCAGCCCTCAGCTTGGTGGGAGTGAAACCACTACCTGTAAGAAATGACACAGTGGCTTAAATGTATCTCAAATGTGGCCTACGACAGGGAGTTAACTAGTTACAGTTACTAAGAATAAAATGTGTAGCCTATGATGTGTAATATCATGATTACATTGGGGGTCCTATCTAAATAGTTTCTGTGAAAAGCTCGGCTATATATTGAATAATATTCATTTTGTTGCTTTGCATGTTTTTCATGTGCACAGAGTCTGTTCTGATGCTTTTAATTGGTTCTCATGTTTGAATTTTCTGCACCACGCCAGTTAAACTGCCTCTCAGGCTGTCTTTAGAAAATGGTTAACTGCAGAAAAAAGTCATTAGAAAAGTAATCAAAAAGTAATTATTTTATTATTTAATTAATTATTTTGAAAAAGTAAATAAAATAGTTACACTACTATTACATTTTAATTGGGTAACTTGTAATTGTTAACCAATTACATTTAAAAAGAAACCTTCCCAACACTGATCACAGGACTGTACAGGTGGAATGACGTGCAGACGACATAGTGGGCACTAATATTACTACATGAGCACATAAAGGACAGCAGCTCTGTACTGAATGCTCTGGTTGATATGACAGCCTAATAATCTGATGTCAGCAGCTGTTTGCACTCGTTTTGTCACAATTATAGGAGCTGAAGTTCTGTGATGCGCTGATCAGCTCCATCATTTCTTGACAGCAAATACTGAGGGACATTTAAGCAGCAACAGTAAAAACTGCAGTTATAAACTTGACAGGACACGCATAGGAAAAAGAATTTTAACGTTAAGTTTCTGAAATATTTTAGATGCTCTAATGGAGCACAGGATTGGTCAGGAGGACGGCTGCTTTAGTTAGTTCCTCTGCATGAACCTGGACTGTGTGGGAGACAGAAGAACACAGTACATGAATTAACATTAGATCCTGATCAATCCTGTTGGGGTGTCGGGAAATTTTGAATATTCAGTTTAATATTTAGCTATGCTCTCAGTTCTTGCGTGCATGTTTTCCCAAGTCTGGACACTGATCAAGCTGAAATGAGGGTTGCAACAGTGTAATCACATGCATCCATATGGTCCTAAAGCCTTTGATTAAGTTGATTGTGTTATCAATGGTTTTTTATTTATTTATTTTATTTTATTGTCCTGATATGCTAATCTACATATAATAAAAGAAGTCCAGACCTCGGTGACCTTATAGCTGGTTACGGCGATAGTGACCATGTGACCTTAATTGCCTACCATCTGTATGCTGTTAATTCCACAGGTGCATGCTCATTGATTGTTTATTGTTCATTGATCAAGTATGAAAAACAATGTTTACACCCTTTACACTAAAGATCTGTAAATTGATTTGGAGTTTTACAGAATTATCTTTAAAATACAGTGTCCTGAAAAAGAGTTCCTACATTTTTAAAGGCTTTCAGAACCAGATCATGTACTGAACATTACATCAGCGCTGACAAGTCTTTATTTAGTTCATCCTGACAGTAATGTAGTACAGATTCTTCTACAAGCATTACTACTTTATAGTAATAGCAATAACAAAAACACATGGCGTCCACTGTTATGATGAATTAAACCAATGCAACTGGGGAGGGCAGGAACTCCCAGTCAGCAGTCATAAACAATCATGTCATGCTTTGGAAAAGCTAGATCTAATTGAACAGTAAACCCTCCTTTCATAAGGGTTCACTTTTTGTTGAAACTGTTTCGAGATGTTGATTTATCTTCAGGTGTTTCTAATGTTTTGTCCATCCTATTTAAATGCTAGATGTTAGGTCCCCTCCCAGCGTGCTGAGTAGGACGCTGCTGCTGCTGCTGTTGTGTTGCCCTTCAGTTGCAGTAGTTGTGTTTGTACTGTGGTGCAGTGACAGGTGTCAGTTTCCTTGACAGTCACACATATAAGTTCACTTGATGATGAAGCAGTGATGACGTGAAGGAGGAGGAGGACAGATCAGGAAGCCACCTGTGTACAGTCAAGCCTCACGGACTTTTCTATGTTTTTATTTCTGTGCAAAGCTCCCCAGTCATTTTGTAGCTTTTTGTTACCTGTTTGAGAATAAATAAATAAATGGATGTTATTTTTGTGAAATGAATGTTTAAATTATGGAGGATTCGAACCCTTTTCCTGTTTTTCAAATAGAATGTGTAAAGGCTTCAGCTCACATGCTGCTTTTTGGAATAAAAATTGTACATTTGTTTCCTAAAACGTCTTTGGCTTTGTTTCCTTTCTAATCATGTTATGTCCCCAAAATGTTTTATATTTAGGCATAGTTAGTGTCTTTGGCCTGCAGAATAAAGCCGTAGTAAGAAACTTCTAATGCCACTTAATAATTGAGCATGAACAGATGATTTGGGAATCGATAACTGAGCTGTGTTCACAGTCAGACTATCAGCTCCAGACACACACTTTGTTTTAGAACAAAGCTCCGCCTCTGCTTGTCCTCACTTTTGAGGTTTAAGTGTTCTTGAAGGTATTCCTCCCAGGTTTAAGCAGATAATTCCTGATAGATTTGATCTAATTAACTGGTAATGACGGTCTGGGGTAGTTACTGGTGAAGTTCTAATTGCTGGCTGTCAGACAGATAGCCGGCAGTCATGTTGGCAGGGGGAGGGGGAGGGGCGGTTGGGCATGCGGCATCGCCTGCGGTGCTGCCCTCAAAACTACAGCAGTCTGAATTAGACAGCCTGAGCCAAGGTCATGTGCTACATATTATGTGTGTGTGCTGCTGTGTGTGTTTTGTCAGTGTGAAACTTTTGGACCTGAGAGTTTCAGTTTGTGTGGAGACCCTGCAGTATTTAGTGAGTGCCAGGGACCAGTGTTTGGTCTCCAGGTGGGAAATGCACTATATGGACAACAGTAGTGGGTGACCTGCACAGTACTTTTATGGTATCCCATTCTAAATCCATAGACATTAATATGGACCCCGTGCAGTCACAACAGCTTCCACTCTTCTACAAGACTGTCTGTGGGTATTTTTACTGGCTTGCAATCTCCATTCTAGTTCATCCCAAAAGGTGTTGGATAGGGCTGAGGTGAGGGCTCTGTGCAAGCCAGTCAAGTTCTTGTCTTTATGGAGCTGGCTTTGTGTACGTGGGTGTTACGTTGAAACAGGAAAAACCCAAACTGTTGGAAGAACAATTTTCTAAAATTGTTGTAGCATTAAGGCTGCTCCGGGGATTTACTGTACGGTCAGAATGTAAGTAGCAGAAGCTGAGACATCCTGACTGAGAATCCAAAAACACTGGATCTCCACTTCCCATAATGCATCGTGATAGGGTCTTTTTACACCTTGATTCAGCATATCTTAAACTGTTGTACGATTTTAGTCTCCAGTTGTAGCAGAGACAGCCCTGGTGGGCAGACACAACAGGGAGAACTTCAATGTATCCAACATCTATCACAGCTGTTCAACCTTCGGCCAACAAACAGACGTGAAACCTACAGTGCAGCATGAGAAAAAACCAGCAGCCATATTAACGGGTGAGCATGTAGCCCTGTTTCCTAGCAACTTCATACCTACTACATTTACCTTTTACCGTTTTATTGTGGTGGCACGAGTGTCACCACCAGGTTTCACACTGAAGCGTCTGATTTTCAAGGCTTGGGGACAGAGGGAAACCTGCTCTCCACATGATGCAGACATACAGGTGACAAAGGGAAAAATGCAGAGGCTTTCATACAGGCGGCTGCAGGGCTCGCTGAATGGCGTGAATCTATAAACCACTGGAGAAAAGGCATCCTGGTGACAAGGAGCAGTAAGAAGGAACAATTATAATCTATTTATAGAGCATTTTTCAAAACTAATGCTTTACAAGGGCAGAAAAATAAACCCATCAGGTTTCAAATTAAATAAAAACAAGAAATAGCAGCCAAGGAATCAAAATACAGTTATAAGAAAGTCAAATTAGGAAAGGCTCTCGCATTAAAAGTTTTAATCTAACTACAATCCAGCTGTGTTCAGGTTCAGTTTTCAGTGGCAGATGGGAACTCCCTTTGGGCTGGACTTTGGCCTTTTTCACTTTGCAAACCTATTACATGCACAAAAAAGGTTTATAACTCATTAAAGGAGAGAGAAAAAGCCAAAACGCCGGTCCTCTTTTAAAGAGTTTACTGACTCAGTTCACCTGGCCTTCTCCAAGAAGTGCTCTTTATAGATGCTACACAGCTGTCCTGCTCGCTTCCTGCTGCCCATGTGCTGTTGATAATGACATCATCAACTGGATGAAGAAATCCACATAAGCAAGAACATCTCACACACACACACACACACAGTTTGGGCAATCCTAATTAATTCCAATTAGAAATGCAAATAAGGAGGCACATCTTTGATTAAGCTGCAGTCGGGCTCCTTGTTGGTTTGTGATGTCCTCTGACGTAGCCCGGTTGTAGGGCGAAGGGAGAAAAAGTATTGGGACACAGAAAATGTTCTAATTAATGTAGAAATGCTTCATGTGAGATATTTCTAATTAGTCCCCTGTCCCTCCCTCTGTTGCATCAGACGCACTTTTGGCCACCAACTTCCCCATGTTCCACAGGATGCAGAGGAGTTACACACTAATTACACAGAGACGGGCGCTGGGATTCATCTGGCCCGCAATTTACATATGAGCTAATTAGCATATGATGGAACTAATCACTAATAATTTAGCCTATTACAGGGTTGGGCTATCTCATTACGCTTTTGGAAACAGGAGGCTTAGAGGGAAATGGATTGTTTCAGCGGCAGACAAAGAGGAGAGCAGGTGAAGATGGGCTTTACCGCCCACTGGACCAGGTGTGGGTTCAGTGGCCCTGCAAAACACACCAAACTGGTGGTTCTGCTCATAAATGGTAATAAAACAATAATCATAATTATCACTATATAATTTTCCCCCATAACAATATAACAAATGTCCAGTCAATGATTTAATTCATTTGAATCACTTCCAAAGCACTTCATTTTTCTATTAAGATATTTATGATGTTGTGGAAAAGATTTTATCATAATAGTTTTGAATGTTCTACCTCAGATTTGTGAAATGGTTTAAATTTACTAATTATGAAGGTATTTGAGAAAATTGTTTAAAATTGGTGCTGTCATCTGTAGAGGGAACAGTTTGCAGACTTTTCTTCAGCATTTAATACAATGCAACCACATCTTTTAATTGACAAGCTGCTGTGTGATTTGAACTTGCCTCACCAACTAGATTTTTAACTGTGCAGAGGGTCATTTCTAAGACTGCATATTCCTCTCTTCAGGATCACCTCAAGGGGGCGTCCTTTAGCGCCCAGGAGACAGGCGCGCGGGGAGACACTTTCGCTTAGGGGTGCTGCAGAGTAGAAATGCGCGAATACAAAAGTAACGCAATTACAGTAATGTATTGCTTTTTGCTCTAATGCAGTTATATAACGCATTACTAAAAATAAATCGGTATTATTAGGCCTAGGCCTATACCCTTTACAATCTCAGTAACGCACGTTACAACTCATTTTCAACCCAAAGTTAAGTGGTTTTTTAAAAATTATATTTAACTCAACAACACCTATAAACATTTTGGCACCAGAAAAACAAATCAACGAGTAAAGAGTAACGCTATTTCCTGTGGCGGAAATCTGCTGGTCGAGACTGAAGGCAGAGTGCAAACTACAGGGGAGCTCAGCTCCTCTTAACAAGACGGTAGCTCCCCTGAAGGATCATGCCTAAATAGATTTCTAGAGGCTATGTCTTTGTGCTTTAAATAATTGCTTTCATGGTCAGAGAGGCATCCTGACCAATCCTGTCGGAGTGTCGGGAGATTCAAATAATCAATGACGTTATGCTGCTGTACTTCGTGCGTAAATGCGCACAGCGTCTTTCTTAATGGGGAGACGATTCATCCTATTTCACCTAGCCACCCCCTATTAATCAGAAGGTTAATTTTTTGACAAAGACCCACCCAATCCGCGGATATAACTCTGCACTTCACTAGAATCCACCTGTGCAGCACAGCTTACCATCACAATAATGCGCCCATTAAATAGCAGTGAAAGGAACTCAAAGTAATGCAAAGGTAGGCTAGTGTAAAGCATTACAATTCAGAGACAGAAATATTGTAATATCACTAATTACTCTCAAATGACAGGAACTAGTTATCTATAATGTAGTACATTTTGGAAGTAACTTGCCCAACACTGAGCGCATGACACGACTTTGTGCGGGCACGCACTGACACACTTTCCTTCAACAGAGTGGTTATGGTCGTATGAGATCACCAAGGTCCGTACCTCCGTAATTGTATGTATGTATGCATAAATTAAATCATTCTCATAAAAACCAGTGATAACACGATCAAATTAAATAAACAGCATGCGGGCGCAGCTGATTTAACCATCTCCACCATCATTTCACCTTGAAAAACTGTTCCACACTTATTGTCCACACTTGGGGAAACACAATAAGCACACAAAAACCTTATGCAGGCACAGCTTTGGGCAAAACGTGAAATAGGGTGAAGCGTCTTCCCATTAAAAGAGACGCTGTGCACATTTACGCAAGGGGCACAGCAGCATAATATTTGAATTGACACGCCGACAGGATCAATCAGAATCTAACGTTGATTAACGTTCTGTGTTCTTCTTCACATCCAAAAGGCTGCCCACACTGTCCAGGTTCATACAGTGAAACTGTCTGGAGTACATCAGTCGTCCTCCTGACCAATCCTGAGATCCATCAGAGCGTCTAAATGATTTCAGAAGCTAAAAGTAGAATTCTGTTTCCTCTGCAGAGTTTCCCCTGTCTGTCCTGTCAAATTTAGAACTACAGTTTTACTTTTTCCTACATAAATGACCCAGGTTATTTGCTGTGACATTACTGCAAGAAAACATTCGTACATCAACACAATAAAGAAATCAGCTGGAAAGTTAAAAGGACCCGTAGAGGTGAGATAAATCTGAGAAAATAATTAGTTGGGTTGGGGGCCGTAGGATGATTTGTGCGTCCATGATTGTTCAGATATTGTCAGAGCTGATCCGCGCATCACACCAATGTAACTGCTATAATCGTGACAAAATAGTGAAAACAGCGGCTGTATTATCAAGAGCATCCTCTGCATTCAGCACTAACCTGCTGTATTTTATGTTGTCATAGAGTACCAATGGTGCCCATTATGCAGTCTGCACATGTAATTTGCACACTGTGTTCCTCCCTGTCAATAGGGGGTGCTGCAGCACCCTCTGCACCCCCTTTCCCGCGCCTTTTACCAGGAGAGCAGCTATTTGGTGAAGTTTTCCGATGACACTGCGTTGTTGTCACTCCTCCAAGGTCCAAAATCTGTCTCTGACCGACTTTATCTCATGGTGTGATAAATAGAGATGCTGTTTCAGACATCACACATAATGAAAAGGTGGAAATTGTGTCATCATAGAAATACCTGGCCACTGTTTTTGATGACCGTCTTAAGTTCGATATAAACAGCGCCGCCATTGTGTAGCGGGGGCCTCCTCTGTCACGCCGGTCAACCTTTAGTGTCTTTTAGTGACTTTGTCTTTTATGTTGGTTTCACAATCTGACCGTTAAAGACAGGAACAGCCTGAACAACATTGTAAAAATCTGTTCTTACATCATCGGAGTGAAACAGAGAGAACTTAATGTCTTCCGCAACCAACAAATAGTCCGGAAGGCAGCGAGGATCCCAGCCTGTCCGGGACGTGCTCTGCCAGGTGGATTCTCTGTTGCCTGTGCGTCCTTATACACTTCCAAATCTTTTATCCCTTCTGCGATCAAACTTTTTCAAACTCCCTGCAGGGTTCTTTGGGGTTTTTTGCAGACATGCTGTTCTTAACTAATTGCCCCTTGTCGGATTAATAAAGCTGATTGAATTGAATTGGCCATAAAGAAACGTTTAATTATTAACAACCTGGTTTCTTCAGCTTTCACTCAGGAGCAAAAATCAACCTTTAAACCGCAAAGAAATATTCCTAAATATTCTGATAATTATCGATATCGAATAATTTTTCAATAACAAAATTTTCACTTGCTTCCAAATTACACACACACATATATATGTACATATTCATATATATATAGACATAAGCAAGTGAAACTTTGGTTCTAATATGTGGATCAAATCAACAACAGTTGTATTAAGATTCAGGACTGATGTTGAGGAAAAGTGTGTTTTTTGCAACAACAAAACTGAAAGCATATCACTTATTTTGTGTTTGTTTATGAACAACATTTTTTTGGTTAGATTTCGAATATTCCTTTAAGACTATGACTTTAGATATTTATGAAAAATAAATATTATATTCTTTTATGAAAAGATAAATATGCATTGTAAAATATATTTGAACCTCTTTATCTTATATGCTTATGAAAAATATTACATTCCCAAATACAACATCAAAATAAATCAAACATTATATTGAAGCATTATAAAACATCTATAATGTGTAAAGACTTACTGCCTTTGTTGCTTGTTACTGATCCCCCTGTGGATCTAGTTGTGCCATGTTCTATTATTCTGTCGTTTACTGTAGGCCATTTAGTTTTGAGATGAATATGATTCAATAAAAACAACAGTTGCATGTCTGTCAGACAAATGATATTGTGTTTTATTAAACACAATATAACCTTTGGGCTGTGTTGTTTACCTGTGAATTGTGATATGAAATGTTACTGTACTGTTTTGGAACTTAACCGGCGGCCTAAACCACTGTTCTCCCTGTCTGCTTCATGGCAAACACTCCTTTTATATTTGGAGATGTTGCACACTGATCAACTGAACATAAACTTGTTACAGTGACATGTACGTTTTATTAATGATAAATAAATAAATTATTACTATATATTTGACCAGGGGTGTATATGAAACGGGCGGCGCAGTGGTTAGTACTGTTGCCTCACAGCCTTTCCGTGTGGAGTTTGCATGTTCTCCCCGTGTCTGCGTGGGTTCTCTCCGGGTGCTCCGGCTTCCTCCCACCATCCAAAGACATGCGGGCTAGGTTGATTGTCCTTAGGTGTGAGTGGTTGTTCGTCTATGTGTGGCCCTGCGATGGACTGGGGACCTGTCCAGGGGGGACCCCGCCCTTTCACCCGATGCCAGCTGGGATTGGCTCCAGCCCCCCGCGACCCTGTACGCAGGATAAGCGGTTGACGATGGATGGATGGTGTATATGAAACATGAATCCCTATCAGGACTCTGGTGTGTCTCTACTGCTCTCTACTGGCACAACACAGCACTGTACTGTGAAATAAAGAAGACAGCAGCCACTACATTTTATGCTGGAAGCCCTTTATTAGTTCTCCAACCTCACAGGACACTGCAGAGCCGACAGCTCACAAGATGAGAAAACAGCTTTCTAACTGACAGAATGTGTGAAAGGCATGCACAGGTTCAGATGCAACAACAAAAGAAAAGCATGATGAGCACACAAGTCAAGGCTTTTATTAAACGGTGCCTTTAGCTTTGAATAATAAACATTCAAAAGATTTTTTACCCACGACACAATAAAAGAGGTTCAGTGTGCATAAAATCACATTGTCAAACCAAACACATTGAAGTTGCTGCCTTATGGAAAAAAACAGACTGATACTTTAAGAAATAGAACCCAGAGTCAGATGAGAAGATGAATCATGGAAACACTCTTACTGACACTTAATTCTGCAGATCCGTACGGTTTAGAAGCAGTTAGTGTCACCACTAACCTTTCATTAATACGGAAGCCCTAAGAGACCATACATTTATACATTTTATTTACTGTTTTCCCATAATGAGTAAATTTAATTTGTTTTGTCAAGTTTTTATGTCATTATCTCAAAAATAATTATTAAATAGTTATTTTACCAAGATAACTGGCTAATTTTCTTCAGATCTCGAGAAAATGAAACTACAAGTACATTACAGATTTTCTCAGTTGCTTAAACACTATAAGGCTTTTCAACTAAAATTTCAAAACCATAACTCCATTTTTCAAAAAGCACACTAAACTCTACACACAAATCCCTTCATTTCTCATTGCTTACATCCTGCGGTCATTGAGAAAACACATTAAATATTGTTCACTCAAGTCAGTACAGGTAGAGCTCAATTAGCACACAACTACCCAGGTGGAAACACAAACACTCATAATTGATAACACACAATCAGAACCTTCAATAGATAGAAAAAAGGGCCTGAGTCTTTTCATTCAGGGTGGAACCACCAGCAACATTACTAATAATCAGCTTTTGTAGTATTGTTTTGGTTTGATCTGTTGTAGTGTGTGTCTGAGGGCAAAGTTTGGTTTTTCAGCTAGATTGAATGTTTTTCAGTGGAGAGCTTCATTTTGACCTGAAAATAGGATGTTTGGGGAACTGGGTGAGAAGTTGTGGATTTGTGTTTAGAGTTAGAAAAAAAAGGCATAATTGAAAGAAATGTGTTTAAGAATTAATTAATTAGTTAATTGAGAAATAGTGTAAATGTTTGCAGGAAACATCATTCAGTGTAGCAATGTCAGAGGAGCAGGAGCATACTGATTACCGTGTCACATCTCTTCAATCAAGGCCTGACAGTGGCTGAAATAGCTGCTGTTCCAGATAATATGCACATTAGTGTGTGTCATCTAAGAAGATGGTTAGCAAGGATCCAGCTTTATCAGCGGACTATTACATTTAATTCATTATTGTTTTCCCGAGATCTCAAATTAATTATGTCATTATCTTGGGAAGGCACTGCGATGGACTGGCGACATGTCCAGGGTGTACCCCGCCTTTCGCCCGATGTCAGGATAAGCGGTTGATGATGGATGGATGGATTATCTTGGGAAAACATTTGTTATTTTGAGATAATAACTCAAGATCTCGAGAAAACAAGTTAAATGAATGTGTTATCCCAGGAAATGGAGTAAATAAATGTATGGGCCCTTAGGGCTTCTGTATGTTTTTGGTATGCAAGAAACCTTGGGAGGAAGTGGCCTTCCAGCCTGGATTATCTTCACTGTGAGTGTTTTTCCTCCAGTGAACAAAGTGCGGCGTTTTAATAAACGCCACAGGGCGGCTGTACAAGGCGTAGGACTTGGCCATGTCCCGTGTGCGACAAGTGGCTAATCTACGAAAGGGTTTTGACAAAGAAAAGCTAAAATGTCCTGATGATCAGCCTCTGATCTGACTCAGACAAAAACATTTCCCAGAATGAGAGCAGGTTTTAGCCTGAAGGGGTCTGTGACAGTGAAACACCAATTTCTTTCTTTTTCACACTTTTTTGTCACTTCAAACAGCTCACTACAAATAGAAAAGGTTCTGCAAAAGCACAATAAACAACAGCTCTGTTAAAAGCAGCTACATACAGTGTGTTTAATCATTTCTAGGTTATACTTCATCTACATAAAAACTCCACACCGACAGATCTGACCTTTGCACAGTTTGGTCAGTGTAGGATTGTCTTTGGGTAAAGTGTGCATGTTGATCATCTCAACCTATTTTTCCATAGAAATCTATTCAACTGTTTTAAATCAAAGCACACATGAAAAATAAACTCTGTTCACCCATGTATTCTAAATTCAGCTTATATTCTTATTAGTGCCTGGTCCATGTCCAGATATCCTAAACCTCACATCTAAAGGTGTCTCTGCCGCAGCTCTGGATCCACCAGGTTTGAGAAACACTGGAAGATCTGTCACCCTGAAAAAAGGTTGTGGAAAGGCTTTCTGGGAAATATGTACAAAAATGATAAAGCAGGTAAATACAATAATAATACTAGCCTTAATGAACTGGATCTATGGAGCTGGCACTGGAGGCTGGGGAGTTTTGTATGCTTTTCTACTCAACGATAGCACAGAAAAAGATGTTCTGTGACCTGACAGGAGAACAAGTCGCAGTCCAGTAGCCTGGATATCTGCTGCTATAGCGGGGGGAGGACTAGAGCCCAGCCAACACTGAGGCTAAGCGCTAGCAGGACTGTGTGGGTGTGCACAGACTCCGGTCTGATCCAGATCTCCCCCCTTAAAGCCTAAGCCCTGATTCCTCACAAATTTAGCTGACGCCACATGGTAAGTGCTTAAACACGAGAGGCTGCAAGGCCTGAAATGGTATAATGGGCATGAGCACTTTTTTAAAAATCGGAATGTATTCCAGTGTCTTCCCAAGTAAACTGGGGTTCAAATCCGACCTGTGGCCGTTTGCTGCGTGTTGCCCCTCATTTCCTGCTTCTATCCACTTTCCTATCTCTCCAATAAAGGTGAAAATGCCCAAAAAATATCTTTAAAAAACCCATATGAGGCCCAAATAGTTTTTTTAAAAGGGTTTTACAAGCCTGATCTTTATGCACATGCAATCCAACTATCTATAGATAAACATCACACAATATTGCTGTAGGAACACGTGTTTTTTCATGCAGACATCACGCCGCGTCCTTTAAGCTGCGCAGAACTCGGCCAGCTTGGCTTCCGGTGCGTTTCTTGCTGCGGCCTGGAGAGCTGGGATTGGACGCTGGCGTTCGGACACTCCTCGCCACGTGGCTTCCCATGGTAGGGAGGAGGGAGGAGGACGGGGAGGGAGGAGAAGAGGAAGAAGAGGTGGGGGACAGGGAGGAGGAGGAGGGTGAGGATGAAGAGTAGGAGGATGAAGAGTAGTAACTGTGTTGGGAGGTGGAGGTGGAGGCGAGGACGAGGTGGTGCTGGTGTTCGCTGCTGCTGCGAGGCCAGTGGTGGGCCGCGCTGACGTTAGCGTGGGATGATGACAAGATGTGGCTAGACGAAGGGAGCAGACGACACAGATTCAGAGACGGGATTAAAGACTTGTGAGAAGGGGAGGAAGAAAATGAAGGGGAGGACAGAGAGGGGGCACAAGGTGGGGAGTTTGACGGAGGAATCGAGGAGACGTTTTTCACCAAGGAGGAAGAGGCTGGGATCTTAGAGGCACGCAAAGCAACGACAGAGCGGTTACTATCCCCGGCTGCTCTACTGCTCCTGCCGTCAGCCTGCAAACAGACACCACGGAACACTGAAGTCAGCGCCAACACGGCCCACATGACAGGAGGACAACACGCAGTCTGAGCACTCGTGCATGCTATTCCTATGGCTTGGCCAGCCTGCCCCTTTCTCACATCATATAGTCTACACGCTCACACCACAGCGTGACGTGGTGACACTCACCAAACACACGGTGCCAGAAGCTTCTAGTCACTCACCTGTTGTTAAGGTAAGGGGAATGAAGACATGTCATCAGACCTGTCAGAAGGTTTCCAGCTGCTGGCCGTTCGGAGAGGGCTGAGATGCAGTGATTATCTTAATAATACAGTAAGTATTCAGATCTAAAAGTAGCAGCACAAAGTACTCCATTCCAAGTAAACGTCTGCACTGCATTTATGATGCATTTTACTGTTGCAGTCGGCTGAGCTGCATCACATTTTATTTAAGCTCATCAGATGCTTTGTATGTAAAATTAGAATCTGTAAAGTAACTATAGCTGTCAAATAAATGCAGTGCAGTCAAAAAGCTGCAGCAGTTTCTACTCTGGTGGAATTATATAAAATGATATCATGCAAAAGCTAATATCTTTGCTGCCTCCTTTTTGTCCTCTCTGGTTTAGAGTGGAAAAGCCTCTCCTCCTCTTCCCTTGTTGAGTCTGTGAACATGCTAACGTGCAGCTACCAGCAACACTCGGATCTGCTCATGATAACTAAGTAGCACAAACAGGAAACACAGCCATGTGGTCCAGACGTGTGTGTATGGTTTGACACGTTTTAACCTTTCGTTGCAATCTGGTGGCTGTTATCAGCACTAAGTGCTAACAGTACCGCTAAGGCCTTCAAAGCCACCTAGTAAATATGTTGCATGAAGGAAGCTTTCTGTTGAAGTCTTGGTCGCTCGCCACATACTAACTCCCAGGACCCACACATCAACTAGTGCTTACTTTATCAGGAGCAGTTCCCACAGCAAAACGTCTTGATGAGATGAGAGATGGAGGTGTCTTCTTCTCCCATCATTGCTGGCCTCTGTACTGAGACCAGTCTGTCAGACTACAGGCCGGTCTCACTTCTGTTCCCACCCAGAGTACTGTGCTTACTGACATAATGATAATGCAAATGGCAGCTGGAGCAGGAGCTTTGTATCACAAAACCAGCTGCATCGTGCTTTTGCTTTCCATCACATATGACACAGAAGTGCTTCTCTAATTCTGAATGCATGTTTGTTTATATTTACTATACTGGCCAAAGACATAGCAGTAACACACATGACTGACAAAATGCAGTGCTACTCCTCTCAGGATCAGTTTAGAAAAAGTAATGTTTGGTACAAACACACGGCCTGAGATAGAAAATATTAAAATGCTTTTTTTCAGAAGAACTTGTAATTGCTTTGTAATCACTTCAACATATCATGAATTAAATATTTGACATTGTGATTAAACAAACGTCACTAAACAGTGGTGCCCACAACCACACCATACATGCGGAGCTCACAGGTCAAGATCCACTCCCTGATCTCAAGACTCAAATGTCAACTGTGTTGAGTTCAAAAGACCATCAGCTAATTTTGGATATGGGGGCTTTAACCAAATCAGGAAATCATGAAAGACGTGAGCCAAGATGAAGAGGAGCGTGAACACAGCCATAAACAGTCAGATAAAAGTGGAGGAAGACCCAAATCTACACAAGACAGGCGTGCACCACCACAGAAACGACCTAAACACATGTAAAACTCACTGCAACATTAACTTCACTAAAATGTTATTACCCACTAAAACAAGAATCAGAAATCAAAAACCAGTCACCGCACACTGAAATGACTTTATTTATTGTAAACAACGTGTTGGGCCTATGGCTTCTTGGCTGTGGCTCAGGAGGTAGAGCGGGTTGCCTACGGCCCACTACATTGCACATTCATAAACCTTGTGTCTACGTGTTTGGGGGATGCTGACAATTCCTATGGTGTCAGACACGCCTCTGTGCCATGACGTTGTCATTTTGCATGCAATGGCTGATCTACACCAAACTCTTGTACCTTATCCGGAATGCCTTCCTGAGGGCCTGTGTGAAATTTGCCGTCAATCGGCCTCTAGGTGGCGCTATTACTTGGAAATCAAATAACACTCCCATAGACTCACATTCATTTCACGGCGGGACGCCTGGGCCGACTCGTGCGCCCTCCGCAGGGCGAGGGGACGGCTTGCACCGGGAGGCTTGGACCCCGCTTACAACTGCTTGCAGTTCTAGTTATTATTATTATTATTATTCCTAAAAAGTGTTCTGCTGTTGCTAATATATGAGAGGCAATTGATGGTATCCACTTCCCACTCTAAGTGATTTATTTATAGGTAAGGGTTAGTCATCAGTTAGCTTGAAAGTCATCTAGCTATTTAGTTTGTTCAAATTAAACATTTCTCTAAATTCAATGCAACACTTACATGTAATTTCAGTGGACTAATTCTCTAGTTTAAGCAAATAAGATTCCTCGACAGAAGCTACATTTTGCTATGGGACAAACTACGGAAGAGGATTAGGGCCATATGTAAAACATTTATTTGAGTCCAGAGAAAAAAGTAAGAATTCTGAGATTAAACACAGAACTCAGATACATTTTTCACATGTGTCCCTAATCCTCTTCCACAGTTAACCCATGTGAAGTAAATATGATTACCTTTTGTACAGTAGAGTCTACCCGGATTTGAACATTTATTCAACCTCATGACACAGTGTCCACCTAAAGTTTCAGAGGATCGATTTCTGTAAAAGTTTTTTTTTCTTTTTCTTTCTAAGAGATGTGGTCGTTCACATAACGATGATCTCTCACATTTATCCTCTGTTATTTAGCACTAAGAAGATGAATGTGCTGAGACCTGACAGAAGGTCAAAGGTTGTTTAAACCACTCAAAGCGCTTTTACACTACATCTGCATTCACCAGTCATACACATTCATACACTGAGCCTAAGTGCTCAAACGGAAACTAGCATTCACACTCATTCATACACTGGCGGAACAGCCGGGGTTCAGTATCTTGCCCAAGGACACTTCGACACGCAACCAGGGGGAGCCAGGGATTGAACCGCTCTACCTCCTGAGCCACAGCTTTAAGCTGAGAATTCTAATTATTTCAGCTATGCTGACTCAGAGTTGCTAACTTCAGCTGCTAACTCTCAGAGTTCATTTACCTGGCTGGCCTGCTGCTGGCTCCGAGGTGTCTTCTCTAGAGAGCCAGAGGAGGCTGCGTGTCGAGACTTGGAGTGGGATTGCTGAGCGGAACAGCTAGAGCTGCTGCTGGAGGTCTAGCAAGGAGATGCATACACGAGAGGTTAGTACAGACTGGCTGGTACTATGCTATCATTGAAAACCATGTAGGATATACAGTGTTTATATAGTAGAAGCTCCAACATTTAAATGCAGTCAAAAGATTCAAGCAGCAAATTAAGACCATGGATGACCTCAAACATTGTATCCCAAGGTATGTGACCAAAGTAGCACGTGGAGGGAAATACATTTGAAAAGTGGGGAAAGTCAGCCATCATTGCTGGCTGAAATGGGCAAACAGTAAGGTATCTTGAAAATATAATTTGATGATGCTGGGCGCTGTGAACTGAGGAAAAATGCTCTGAGCAAAAAAATTCCCCTTCATCCCAAGGCGCCAAAGAGGAAAATAACAGAAAGGACAGAAGTTCCTTGTAAGTTTTGAGAACAGTCAGTCAGAGCTGTCCTTCAAGCAGAGCACAGACAACAGTTGAGTACACTGCTAGCTAGCTAAAGCTAATATTTATAAAGTTGGTGCATTGTGGCAAAAAAACTGACTGAACAAACATTTAGCTGTACTAAGAAAGTCTTGCCATTGAACCAGTCTGTCTCCAACTACCACAGATATCTACATGTTTGTAGAAAATGGCACTCCTTCAGGCCACACTGACTAATGGCCAGTAAAAGTCACTTTACTTGAAATGACCCAGGCTACGTAAGACAGACTCACAGAACACAATCATGTGTAGAGTCAGACAGAATAGAGAGCCCACCAAAAGCACAGCCCCACTGAAGCCAGCAAGCACCGCAGGCAGAGGAACATCAGACCTGTTTCTTGGTGGAAGATTTCCCTGTGTCATGTGGAGGCTGTGGTTTGGCCCTCTTACTCTGAGTTGGATTTGGGCCCTTGAGGATCTGAGGGGCTTTCCTCTTGGATGGGCTTCTCTCCCTTTCCCGTTTCACTTTGCTTTTAATCTGAGCTCTGTCAATGGAGCCTTTGGAACAACCAGGGGACTCAGGAGCTGAAGACACAGCAGATGATGAGGGAGAAGGCGCAGTTACACTGTTGACTCTGATTTCCAAATGTTTGATGGACTCTTCTAGACTGCCAATAGAGTCAAATGTACTCTCTCGGTGTCTGGTATCACTGGGAGAGGAGACCCTGATGTCTCCGTCACAGGCATTGCCTTCACCCAAGTTGAATTGTTTGGTACTGTTGATCTCAAACCTTTTGTATTCCTTTGTCTGCTTCTTGGTCTCCTTCACTGGCCTGCTGTCTGATGATATCTCCTCCTCTTTCTCATAGACAACAACCTCAAGAGTCTTCTTTCCGGTTTTGGTCGTCCCTGTTCGAATGGCCTGGCTAATTGCAGCCAGTTTGTTTTTGGGGAACTTGAATTTGAATTTCCTTTTGGGCTCTGTCTTTGTAAGAGAGTCTGGTTGATCCTGGTCTTGGCTTTCAAGAATTGAGCCATTCTCTGCTGAAGGTCTTTGATGCTGCAGAGAATTCTGACCATTTCCTGGGATGTCTTTAAAGCCTAAGCCTGTATTTATTTCAGTGATACAAATGTTTCTCACATCCTCTTTCTCGTCTTCCAGCTTTGTCTCCTCTTCATCCACAACATCTTCTGGAGAGAGAATTCCATCAAGACATTCCTCACTTTCAAAGATAGTAGAAAGACGCTTGTAGGCCAACTGAATGTCCATAGGCTCATTCAAGATAAGGATAACAGGTTTTTCAAAGTCACTACTGTCCTCCAAACCTCGGTTGGAATATGCCAGATATGTGGGTTCACCAGTGCTGTCCCCAGATACAGTCTGTCCATCACAGCCACTCGTTTTGGCGAGGTCTTTGGACTGTGTCCTGCCTCTCATCTTAGAGATTCTAAGGCTGATTTTAACAGTTGGAGGTGGTGGAGGAGGAGGTCCCTCATCTTCCCAAATATTGGGGCTTAGGCTCCCCCCTTCTTCTGAGTATTGTGATTGGTTCCTGGATTGCTGCACTGTTGCCTCCTGGTTCTGCTGCTTGCTGCTGCGGCTGTAAGTCAAGTGGGGTGAAAGGGGGGTAAATTTTAGGACTGAAGTAGAAGCTACACACTCCTGATCTGAGCTCAGGGACTTATCTTGCAGGAACTTTATCGAGCAGTCACGCTCTGGGGTGTTTCCTTGTTGTACTAACGTCAAATTTGACTTCTTCTCAGCTGGTACCTCTTGGACAATGTTTTCATTAGTTTGGTCAGGACTTGTGATGTCAGTTTCTTGAATGTTTTCTTTTTGCAGAGTAAAAATTGTTGTTAACTTCTTTTCTGCTGTGGTTGGGGAACACACCTGTCCAACAACCTCCCTGTCAATCTGACCACGTATGTTCACAGTAAGATCATTTTCTTTTTGTGAAGCCCTGTTTGTAAGGCCATCAATCTTCTCTGCTTTCTTTTGGGTTGGTGTTGGCCCCTCCTCATTCTTCTGGATAGTCTGAACATATTGTAGAGCTACAGGTGGGGGTACCTCCACCTTCTCTACTGTTGCATAATTTAAGGAAGGCACCTGTTTAACCACCTTCTCCTCTTCGTCCTTCTCCTCATCAGGACTTACACTGTCTTCACTGTGTTCTTCCACTCCAACTGCTGTTATGAGTTTATGAGGGCAGCCATCTGGCATTCCTTCTTGAGGGGCTGACTGGTGGTCCAATGGTGTTAACTCAGAGGGACTCTGATTGGCCACCTGTGATGTTGGAAATGCCTTCACCTCCCTTTTCCATTGCTTATTTCCACCCAGCAAATCAATCTTATTTGACAATTCAGTTGTCACCTATAATTAGAAAAGGCAAGAATAAACACTTCATCATCTTCAATATAAGAAAATAAATTGGTTTTCTATCCCATTATATCCAAAAACACAGTGATTGTTTCACTAGTATGTATATACACAACATTCATCGTTATTTACAATGTCAATATGAAGATATTCAAAATGTACAAATTGTATTGTGTATTGTGTCTGTGTGGACCCCAGGAAGAATAGCTGTTGCTTCGGCTACAGCTTATGGGGATCCTAATAAATTTAATGAAAAAAAAGTATTAAACAAATGGCTACAATGGGAGTGCTCCGTACTTGTATAGCGCCTTTCTAATCTTTTCGACCACTCAAAGCGCTTTTACACTACATCTGCATTCACCAGTCATACACATTCATACACTGAGCCTAAGTGCTCAAACGGAAACTAGCATTCACACTCATTCATACACTGGCGGAACAGCTGCCAGGGGCAATTCGGGGTTCAGTATCTTGCCCAAGGACACTTCGACACGCAACCGGGGGAGCCAGGGATTGAACCACCAACCTTCCGATTAACAGCCAACCCGCTCGCACAGCTGCCCCATGAAATATTGGGAAATCTCCCAGATGCACATGCACATCCTTACATTACCTGCACAAACAAATAGCTGCACATTGCTGGCTTGTCTCTGAAACTTGAAGACCTGATAAAGTTGCTTTAGCAGCCGTACATCATGACAACACAGGGGGCTGTGCTGTTCCAGGTAATGCAGGCCAGTTTACCATACTCTCACCTCTACCCTTTTCTTCACCTTTTTTGTTTTTTGTGACTTATTATGTCCTTAGTATGTACTGTACATTCAAAGCTAATTTTGATAGGATAATGATTGTAGAACAGAAACTCAAAAACAGGTTTACTTAATTTATGTCCCCATGCATTCAGTATTTATTAACCTTTTAACTACTCAGATACTGACAGAAGTACCTCATGTCATGTTCACTCCACGTCAGATGTATTGTCAATGTTACCAGCCCTAGAGTAGTCACTGGAACTGCTACTAACACCTTAGTAGCAGTTAAGAGGTCAACATAGCTGTTAAACTTGAAGTAAACTGACCGACAGCTTCACCTTTGTTAACATGCAGAATCATGTAGATATGGTTTCCAGCAATGTGCAAAGGAGGGTACGACTTCACAGCTCGACAGCAGCTCATTTCACTTCGGCCTTATTGTAATGAGCTGGAATTGTGTTTCATTTGCATAGAAATGTTGAGTGAGTGTTGAGTTTAATGACAAACGTGTTTGTGTGTGTGTGTGTGTGTGTGTGTGTGTGTGTGCCACTTCTGAAAAGTTTCTGTGACTAAGCTGGAGCACAACTGGAACACAGTCAGTCATAGTGTGTTCCATCCCAGTTACAAGGAAATGAAAGATGTGAGAAGCTACAGCAGGGTGGAGAGCTGAAGTCTATTAATCCAAAAAGGCAGAGGGGATATATATATATATATATATATATATAGTAAGTATGTACAGTGCTTGGTAATGTGCACCACTAAAGCAATTAGAAGTGAACTGTAAGGGCCCAGAGGTGGCTCCTGTATTTGTTTTATTACTGTGTGTGTATGGTAAGGCTGAAGGGGTCCCTTGTGGGTTAATTTGGCCCTGTATGCCCAGTTTTCCTGTCCAGAGTTAGACTGTGTTTCTTGACCCGTCAGACTTCCTTTTAGGTATAACCCAGATATCACCTATTGCCTTGGTGAGTATTATATTGTTATTACTGATGGAAAGGGAGGACGGACTCCAAAAATAGGACCCAGAATTATCATTTGATATGTTTCGGCCATCCTGTATATGTCAAGAAACACCACGCTGTTAAATGTGGAAAGGGGGTTTATTCTGGATCAGGTTAAGTGTTGTAGTTTGGAAACACTTGTCATGGAAACCAATAAATGAATTATTAGAGAGAGACACAGCAGCAGAGGTAATTAGATAACGTAAAGGCCTCAATGGCGTTAAAGCAGAAATTGCAGCTGGATTAGAAGCAGGAAAATAGTCACTGCAAAGCACACATCACAAGAGAAGTCAAAGCAGATAATTTTCTATTCTCACTCACGTAATTCTAATGTATGGATTATTCATTGTTAAGGTAAATTATATTACAGCAGCTCCATCTAGTGGACAGCTTCAATACTTGGATATTCTGTAAAAGTGATACTTGGTTGAACCCTGCTAGACATGAATGTGAATGATGAGAAAATCAATGAGTTGTGTACATCACTAGTTAAAGAAACATTGGGCTTCATTTAGTTAGAGCTGCTTAGCAATGGAACTCAGTGTGGATTAAAAGGTTAGTTAGTTAGTCAGAAAACTGTCCTTACACAGTAGTGCTAGTATTCTAGGAAGCTCTTTTTACCTTAGCCTCCTCTCTGTTCTGGAGCTCAGAGGCAGAGAGTTCAACCACACCTTTGCTCTCTAAATCCCTCATAGTGCATTTCTGAAAGACCTGGGTGAGAAGGGCAAAGGGTTAAGGTCACAGAGACGGGGAGGGTCAGAGGCACAGGGATGCAATGGATCCTAACACCTTTTATTAATGTGTTAATGTGCTCATGGTATCATGCAGAGCACGCAGTCCGTCATTCAGCAATTGGAACAGCAGCGGACATGATGACAGCCAGACCCGTTAGCCGGCAGGACCTCACATCTCCGAAAACGTCGTAGCTAATTTTTAAATCAGCTCTGTCTTGAGAAATTGACCACACATTTGGAGTTTTAATCACTATATTCTCACATAAAAGAAAATGCATTCCATGAGACAAGACCAGCAGTATTATAACTTACAGTTGTGAGTTTTCTCCTCCGACATTTCCACTTTTTGCCGCAAAATGCATTCTGGGATACTTGGCTATCCGAAGCCCACACAAGTCACCACCGATGCAGGCTCGGTAAAATGGGTGGAGCGAGAACACAACCGGGTATATTTGACTGCACCTGGCTAGATGCAGACTTTTGAATTGGAACAGAACTTGGTCTGTGACTCATGATGTTTCACAAGTCCGCAAGAACACAAGTACAGACAAAACGCAGATTGAGAAACACTACTTTCTGGAGTCAGTGTGGCGGACTCGTTCCACACATGTGCAGTAGATCGGTTAGTGCCCTGGTAGCGCAGACGTCCGCACAGAGCCTACGTGTACCCCCTCTGATGACAATGTTTTAGTCATGAGGAGCGTAGTAGAGGACCCTCGCGTACTTGCGGAAAGTATAATCCTTGCTTTAGGAAAAGGAGATACAAGCCGTGTCTGTTCTTTAACAGATTTGATGCTATGGCTCCTGCCCATCCTCCCTCTAACTCAGCTGCTGTCTGCCCTCAAACACCACCAACCCCACTACTCCCCCCTCCAGCTCCTCACTGTCCCCCACCCTTCTTCACAATGTCTTCAACATGAGCCTGAGGCCCCATCTACACGACTCCGTTTTAGTTTAAAAACAGAATTAAAACAAATACGATCTCCGTCCACAGCAGAGTTTTAGCTGCGTATCAAAGTTGATCCCTGTCTACATTAAAACAACCGAAAATGCACATCTAGTAGCCGTTTACGTACACCGGTGCCGATGTAAACATGAAGCAGATGGTGTCTTCCGTAGTTACAGAAGATTTGGTTAAAGAAATAAAGTAAAGTAATGCAGACGAAGAACCACACCAGATTTGATTTTGCATGGACCAATAACGAGCGGCTGTGGCGGCGGGAAACAGACTGGGAGTCATCGCAAATTAAATAGGCGACATGCACAGCACAAGTGTAGGCAAAGTGTTATTTACACAGTACAAAATATTTTAATAAAAATACCAAGTCAACTCTATAGCATGGTGTTTCTGCTTTGCATGACTTTTAACACCCAATCACAGAGCTAAGCGTGAGCATCATCGTTTGTAAAGTCATCTGTTTTTGCCCATCTTCACTAAAACGCTCTCCGGAGTTTCAAAAGGAAAAATGGGTTCAGCAGCCTTTTCAAACTTCTCCGTTTTAGGTCTTCATTTTTGACATTTTAGTCTGGACGGGAGGTGCAAATGTAGAAAAAGACCACTTCTGGACCTCCTCTAGTTGGCCTACCAGGCCTGACTGGGAGTTGAGGACCCCATCATCTTCCTGCTCAACCTACGCCCACCTGGACAAGCCCGCGAGCACTGTGAGGTTCATGGTTTTTGACTTCTCCAGTGCTTTCAACATCGACCATTCAGAGCCATCTCTATTTTCTAAGGAGGTCGAGGTCCTTCAACATCTGCAGGACGATGCTGAGGATGTTTAGTCTGTGGTGACCTGTGCTATCCTTTTTGCTGTTGCATGCTGGGGCAGCAGGCTGAGGGTATTGGACACTAACAGACTCAACAAACTGATCCGCAAGGCCAGTGACGTTGTGGAGCTGGACTCTCTGTCAGTGGTGTCAGAGAGGAGGATGCTGTCCAAACTACATGTCATCTTGGACAATGTCTCCCACCCACTCCATGACGTGCTGCTCAAACACAGGAGCACTTTCAGCGCAAGACTTATTCCCCCAGAATGCACCACAGAGCGCCACAGGAAGTCAGTCCTGCCTGTGGCCATCAAACTTTATAACTCCTCCCTCTAAGTGTCTGACACACGGACACTTAGTTTTAAACTGGACATTGTAGTGCAATATATCTACATCTATACGCAATATATAATACATCTATATACATATATATAGATGAATAGACCAGTCCTATACCAAATGTGTACTAAATGTCATGTTGGCAGTATGCCATACTCACTGGATCTCACTTTAAATAAAAGGTCACTATGACCCAGGAAAGCACATAGCAGCATCAGGTCTGGTGTCCTAGTAGCTTCCCCGTTTGAGTATGTGATCTGCTTAAGTTGTAAGAAATAGAAAATTGCCAAACATACCTGCAGCTCTTTCATGAATTTGTTGTCCTCCTCCTCTTCCTCCTCTTCCTCCTCGTCCTCCCTGTGTGCTGAGGCTGTAGCAAGGGTGGAGGAGTAACCAGCCAGAGGTGCAGGAGCACATATCTGGGGTTTGGGTTTGACTTCTGATGCCTGTCTTGGGGGTTTTGGCTGAGAAACCACAGGCGGCTCTTTCTCACCCTCATCCTTAAACATATCAGTGAGCGAAAACACAGCACAGCTTGAATGATCTACTTGGTTGCATCAGCGTCGCCAGGTCATTTTTTGGGGGGCTTTAGTCCCGGATGTTTTGACTGTAGCCCCAAATGTAACTCAACAACAGCAACAAAAACATTTTCCATATTAATAAGCAATAATCCCCATGACGCAGCAATTCTCTCTGAAGCGGATGTGATCTGCACTTCATCAGAGGCGCTGATGTGAACCTTTGTGCAGATTTGTGGTGAGATTTTCAGTTTCGGTCATCTCATCCAGTACAGTCCCAGACGGCTCAGTGTCTGTTAGACGGTCTAAAGGGGGAAACCTACTTCCCTATCAGCAGAGCCAAAATGCAGGGTGATGCACAACAGAGGGGCAGGTAGATTCTGTTAAAATATTGTGACATTCTCATCAGATAACAATTTTATTTCTCATAATATTATGACTTTTGTCTCAAAATATTATTCCGCAAATGTCAGAGAACACAGATATGTGGGAGAGATTGTTAATGTCCAGAAAGTTTTGAGCATAAGCAGAAAAGCTGCTGAAAGCCAGGAGCTATAAAAATACAGGAGTTTCTAGCTGAATTCAAATTAATTAAGCTAATTTCTCATTGAGGTGAAAAGGTGCCACATGCATGTTTAGAAAGACTTCAGGTAAGCCTGCACTCAGCAGGGATTAATTAAATGAGAAAAGTCGATATACAGGAGAAACATATCTGACAGCAATACAGAATGCCTGAGAGCCTTACTGCATTATATTACACAATATTTTTTTTATTTTGAAGTGTTAGTGCTAGTTTCATTAAGTAAAGCAGCTATGGGGAACTATACTGCGAGAAACTAGGGCTGAGATGTCATTTTTTTTAAAATGCCCCAGTTTTCACTTTAGCTGCTAAATTTAAGCTAACACTACGCTAGTGATAAACACAATTCAGCATACTGTTAACTGCTCCTTAGCTTTGTCTGCTGGCCAATACATGACTGCTACGTATCTGTGTAGCTAGCTGCAAATTCTGAAAATGATATAGGCTATATAACTTTATGACTCTCGCAACAAGACACAGTCAGCATGATAACGAGATGTGTTTCTTACTCTTGACTTCTTCATCAAAACTTCGGCTTGCCACACACCAGAAAAGAGCTCCATTTTATGATTTGGCCAACTTTGGCCAACTGAGGAGTTTAATGTTAATTAGTTACAGATGTTAAAGTGACATTTGTCTCTTTAGCCAACAATATGACAAATTCTCTTCCTCTATGTTGGTGTGTGTGCTCACATACATACCTGAGCTGCAACTGGCTCTTTCCTGCTGGTGAAAATCACCTCTCCTGACCTTCCTGTGGTAACACCTGAACTTACACAATGGAACCTGGGAAGAAAACAATACTAATTATAACAATCCATTAGAGTGATTTATACTTTTAGAAAGCCTGGTCTGCAGGTGATCCTCACTCTGAGATCAACTAGCTCACCTTCGTGGAGGAGGAGGAGGTGGGGACTTGTGGGCCCTCTCTGGACTCTGCTTCATCTCCTTGTCCACACTGGAGCGGCGGGGTTTCTCCATCTGTGGCCGGCTGCTGCGCTCTATGCTGTGAGAAGATGAGGGTGGAGCTGATGGAGCAGCTGATGGAGCAGCTGACGGAGATGACTCCACAGCGGATGCTGTCCAAATATCACAGTGCTGTCATTTAGTCATTTAGGTTTGTAGGAAAACACAACCTTGTCCTTTGTTACACTAGTTAAAAGCCGTTTTCTGACACAGTGCTGGAAGTGAGTGAACCACTTACACTGAATCCACACTACTACGTTTTCATTTGAAAACAGAGTTAAAAATAATACCATCTCCGTCCTCACCAGCATTTTAGCTTCATATCAGAATTGATCACCATCTATATTAAAACGACTAGCCATTCACGTACAGTGGGCATGGAAGCAGATCGTCTCACTCTTCATATTTCTCCTGTCTTAGCTTCTCTGCATTGGCTTCCAGTAAAATCCAGAATAGAATAGAATCTTAATGGTCAGGCACCATCTTATCTTAAAGAGCTCATAGTACCTTACTACCCCACCAGAGCACTGCGCTCCCAGAATGCACCTGTGGTTCCTAGAGTCTCCAAAAGTAGACTAGGAGCCAGAGCGTTCAGCTATCAAGCTCCTCTCCTGTGGAACCAGGTTCCACATTTAACATCCCTTAATTATGCTGCTATAAGCCTAGACTGCAGGGGGACTTGCATTCTTATCCCATTATTGCATGTTACTAACACAACTTCTCCCCTTTCTGGTAGTCTTGTGCTTTCTCGTCCCTCTCCTCTCTCCTCCTATCACTTCCTGCAGGTGTTTCTGGCTCTGAAGTCTGCATCTGTGGCTGTGAGTCGCCTACTGCCCTTCTGTTCCTGCACAACATCTGGTGCTACAAGTCCTACATTAATATTACTATAATAATCAGTAACATTATACATTTTTTGTACCAATGCTACTTTTAGTATTTGTATTTTCTGCATAGATATTGTGTTGGTGGAGTTTTAAAACAAAAACAGGGTCATCAGCGTTTTCAAACTTCTCTGTTTTAGGTGGTTGGATTCAGCGTTTTAGTCTGGATGGCAGCTGTAAACAGCAGATGTGCTGCGTTTTAAAAAGAAAAAGCAGGAGTGTGGATTTAGCCTTAGTGCCAGTATTTTGTTCATGCTGACAAATACAGAGGTCTCATTTATAAACGATGTGTACGCCACATCCCATGCAGAGGTTGTGATCTTTAAAAAACAGATCTGACGGGATAATGTGCAGTCCTCCATGCAAACTCTGTGTATGCAAGTAAACTGGAGAAGAGAAACGGCGACTCACATTGCAAAAGGATGAAACGTTTGAAATGGATACTACTGTGTAAAATAAATCGAACTATTACCTCTGAGTATTATAGGCCAATAAAACTTAATATAATTTAATAATATTAGTTCATTTGCCAAACAGATGAAAGCCTTTCTGAATAAACAACCCCGTGTTTGATTGATTGTGTGAAGTGGCAAAAAAAGGCACACAAAAACCATGATTTAGGATCATAAACACAAACGGAGATATCTGTTTCTGCAAAGAATGCAGTGTAGTTTATTCTCATTAAGAAGGTGAACAGAAGGACAAATTACATTTAAATTGATACAGTTTTTGTTGCGTCAGTCGAGCAAATAAAGTGCGTACTTTCATGTATTATCACATGTTCATTGCCTTATCGAGCCAAACACTGTGCGCAGCGTGTAGATGTGATGCGCTGCTTGTAAAAACGTTATGGAAAATATAACACTGTTAATTCAGTAGATCTTTCAGTGTGCCGCTGTCTGGCACATAAAACAAGTCATATTTCTTTTAACTCATCAGCAGCCTCGTTTAGTGAGTGGACTGTTTGTGTCGCCTAAATAAATGTTTAAACACAAGCAGAATGCATTTGGTTTACGATCTTTTCAAATGGGGGATTCCAAATTAGTACCTGGGTCATCCTGTACTGCATGTATGTGTCCCCTTTCACCTCTGTCACTTCTCAGGAGGGATGCACCTTCCTGCAGATCGGTTATCAAGGGGGTGGAGCTCCGGTGCCCCTTTACGCAGGTACACAGGCACTGCGTGTATGTACACGTTTTATCCACCAAACAACATGCTTCAGCTTCACCAAAAAGAATGTCAGTCACACCGAGTTAAATTTCTTTTTGTAGCTTTTCTGTCAGAGTTTGCCTCCTTTTCTTCCTGCAGTCAGCACGTATTAATATTAATGAGGGGCGTTTCACTGACCATTTCTAGGCGGGTCGGACAAGGAGCTGGCTCACATACGCCACATTTCAAGTTGAATGGATTTATAAAGGGAAACCGTTTTCTAAAGCAGAATATTCTTGTGCGTATATTTTGTATAGATTTTTATCCGTACATCACATTTCGTAGTCTTTCCCATGTACAGTTTTAGAAATGAGACCGCAGGACTCTGTACTGGTAGACACTTGATATTACATAATAAATTTCTTTGGGACTTTATCTTCTCTGTTCAAACTGGAATTGTACCTGTGTCCAGGGGTTTTAACTGGGTGGAGTCCGCCCCCTCAGTCAGCTTGGGAGGTGTGTCTTCCTGGGCATCAGGCTCCACTGAGGCTGCAGCACAAACAAAACACACAGACCTGTGTTTTAACTGTTACAGTTTCTCCATGATATTAAAATACCATGTGAATCGTGTTCAAAGACAACACATCTCAAAATAATCAGTTCAGTTTCAGTTCAGTGTGCCTTATTGGCAAGAGTGTTTCATTAAAACAATGTCACCAAAGCAGTTTGCAACAAAATTAATTATTGTGTAATGACTCCTAATGGTATAACACAGACAGTTTCACTGGCTCCCTGACGATCCAGTTCAACATCTCACCATTACTTACAGAACATAGCACAGTCAGGCTCCTGCACATGTGACTGAACTACTATGACCTTCCCCCCTCATCTCACTCTCTCAGGGAACAAAAATTTTCTGATTTATAAAACAGTGCGCATGCACTTCCTGTGACTTGTCCGTATGCAACCTTTAGTAGTCTTTTCCTATGCACAGGTTTATGAATGTGACCCCAGGTGCATACAGATTACCCAAACACCTGTCTGAACAGGTGTGTCTTCAACTGCCTTTTGAAAGAATTCCCAGAATCAGAGCAGAGCAGTCCAAAGTTTAGGTGCAACAGCCCTTGAGTGCCACAGTTCTGAAGGCCTGTGCTCGGGACAACTTTCCACAAAACCGTGCACACGCACATCCTACACTGATTTCCCTTTATAAATCCATTCAACTTGAAATGTGGCGTATGTGAGCCAGCTCCTTGTCCGACCCTTTAAACGCCCATAGTTGCCTAGAAATGGTCAGTGAAACGCCCCTCATTAATATTAATACGTGCTGACTGCAGGAAGAAAAGGAGGCAAACTCTGACAGAAAAGCTACAAAAAGAAATTTAACTCGGTGTGACTGACGTTCTTTTTGGTGAAGCTGAAGCATGTTGTTTGGTGGATAAAACGTGTACATACACGCAGTGCCTGTGTACCTGTGTAAAGGGGCACCGGAGCTCCACCCCCTTGATAACCGATCTGCAGGAACATAAACCCCTCATGAGCGGGACACATACATGCAAGACCCAGGTACATAGCCTAATTTGTCCCTCATTTGAAAAGATAGCAAACCAAATGCATTCTGCTTGTGTTTAAACATTTATTTAGGCAACACAAACAGTCCACTCACTTAACAAGGCTGCTGACGAGTTAAAAGAAATGATTTGTTTTATGTGACATAACGGCACACTGAAAGATGTACTTAATAAATAGTGTTATACTTTTGTATATTGTGTTTTTACATGCAGTGCATCACCTCCACACGCTGTGCACAGCGTTTGGCTCAAATACCATAACATGTGATAACAATATATCTCTGTCTGTGTTTATTATCCTAAATCATAGCCAGGAGCACGAACCAGCGCTGTCAGTCATCTTCACAAATGACCCCACAGAGGTTAAATAGCTGAGTTTCCCTACGAGTCAGTCAGAACTGAAGAAGTCTGTCAGGTGATGGACGAAACTCCTTCAAGTATCTTCAACAGGGGCGGTTTGTTCATTAGGGCGACCGGGCGATGCACCGCCAAGAGGCAGGGGATTTTTCTCACACTTTCTACCAGTCACACTGTTAGTTAGCTGTGACTGTTTTTGACAGACACCTGAAAACGACTCGGCGGTCCTCCAGCTTGTTGCTCTCACTACGACCAGCTGCTGTAGAAAATGTACGTTCAGGCTGAAAATTCAACCGTGTTGTCGGGAGATGCAGTGACTTTACCAGCGGTGAGTAAGACACAGTATAAATAATACATGTAATTTGTTAAGCTATGAGGAGAGGAAAAGTCCGCTAGCCACTAGGCTAATTTATGCTCCGTAAAATGCCATAGGCTAAGCTAATAATAATAATCTTGATAGTTATTATTAAGCTGAATTTTATGCTTATGTTAAATGTGATTGTTATTAAGCCATGTTTTATGTGTGCTGGTGGTGGAGTCAATTTAAAGTTAGCTGCACTTAACCCTTAACAATTATTTGATGTGTTGTTTTTTTCTTTTATTGCCAGAAACCACAGAAGAAAGAGGAGGTAGCATGATGTGGCCACCACTGGGATCTTGTCAGAGGAGGGTAAAAAGAAGAAGTGGGAAAGCAACACAGAAAATAAACCAAAAATAATAGAATATACCTTTTATATTTCCCCTTTCATGCCTTGATGTTTATGTGTAAATACAGAGTGAGAATGGGAGAACAACACATAGCTCGTTGTTACTGTGTGATTATAGAGTACAGGAGAACAGTGGATACTTTAATGCAGCCTACACCCCTAATAATACTGTGTAACTACAGTATAAGAAGTGGATTTTTTACTACTCTCTGCTTACCTTATTAGTCTTGTGTAATGTTTGTAACTTCAAGAATGAAAATAAATACTGTGCTCCTCTGTACCCCATTAAACATTTAAGATTAGCTATGTTTGATCCACCTTCATGTACAGCATATGTGACATTATTACATAATTGTAGCCTCTTACTTGAGATGGGTCCCTTAGCTGCAACGCAAGATTAACTGTAAATAATTTTATTCATTGCACATCATCAGCCCAGTGCCACTGCGCTTTATTCTGAATTTATTGTTCCTAAATAAAAGGTTTGTCACAGCTAAATCAGATGATTATGAGAGTCATTTTTTTTTTCATTATTGCTAAAGTAGTTGCCTTTACATTCAATGGTCTAAAGATCTGTTGATCTTAACTGTGGACTGTTCATTCATTGTAGACATTGGCACTGAACTTCAGGATGTAGCTGTTCACAAATACTGTACAGTATGTTGCCTAAGGAACAATCCTTGTCTTATAGCAGACTAAGACCATTGAACTGGTCACCTCAGCCATCATCGATCATCGATCAATTACCCCCCAAGAGATTTGGCAGGAGCCGCCACTGATCTTCAACAAAGTCCAGTTGCTATAGACTTTAACCTTCCTTGGATATCCTACATCATGGTTATTTTTGTGTGCGCTGCAAATGGTTTTTTTGCCACTTCAGGGAAAATCGAATCAAACGGGTGTTTGTTTATTCTGTTTTGCAAATTAACTCATATAATCTAAAATTATATGAAGTTTTATTGGCCAACACCACTATTATAGGTCATTTTTCAATTTATTTTACACAATAGTATCCATTTCAAACAGTTTCATCCTTCTGCCATGTGAGTCGCCATTTGTCATTTCTCCAGTTTATGTGCGTACGCATGGCTCACAGTTTGCGTGGAAGACGGCACATTCGAGTCTTACAGAGAGGCCTTTCCGAAAGCATTTGCTCCTCCCTCCCTCCCCCTACCTACTTCCACTCCACTCCAGTTTTGAGTTTTTCTGTAAGGTAGTCTAGTGTTAACATTACTGACAACATTCTTTCTCAGGCCTGGAACTCAAACTATTTTCTGATGCCCCATAAATACATATTTAAATAATTAAATATCATTAACGTGTGACGACTTGTTGACTTATAGCTTGAACAAACCACCACTAGTCGACTAAGAACATCTTTAGAATTTAGAATCTTTTCTCCATAGTACTATTGACTGAGAGGTTTGACAAGGTAATTATTATATGTATTTTTTAGATTTTATTGGCATATTTTGGCACAGAAACTTGTACAGTTGTTAGGAAAAAATCCTTGGTTATAACACTAGACGGTCTTGATTACCTCTTATATTATGGCCGTGGCTGCTTTGCTTTAACAAGACGTTTTTTAATATCTAACTTCATGTTAATAAATTCCTGGTTATTTCTGTCATATCTCTGCTATTAATATGTACTAATTGTTTCAGGTCTTCATTTGACTATTGACACGGCTAAATGTGTTCTGCAGATTCAGCAGGACTCTCTTAGGGAACATTTTTGTGAAACCTGCACACAAACAGAGCAAACATGCAGCCTTATATAGCAACGTGTGTCCAATGTGTTTTAAGTGAATGGGATTGTACAACCTTGTGATGTCAGTTCCAGAGGTCCGTTTGGCTCTGACTTTGTTGCAGCAGAAGTGATCTCTCCAGAGGCTGAATTACAGTGACCCTCTCTGGTCTCTGATACGTTCAGCACAGGGATGGTCTTCATCATGCTGGCCTGGGCCTCCTGGAGGACCTGGTCAGATTCTGTGTTGGTGTTGGGGGATGGAGGCTGACTAGAGTTGGAGCTGGCCGACTGGTTGGCTTGGCTGGTGCTGGGCTGGTCCATACTGCTGGTTTCTCCACTCAGTCTGCTCTCCGGAGTTTGTCTCTCTGATGTCTGCGAGGGGGGGCAGAGACACACGGACTGGTGATAGGTAGGGGCTGTTTCAAACTATGAACAGGCATGTAGGAGAAATCTCATCTATAGATCAGTGAAAACTGTCAGGGTGATTACCTCATTCCCTTCCCCTGATGTTCCCTGCTCCTCCCCCCATTTGAAGCTCATCCCCTTATTAGTCCCTCAGCATATACAGTATACAGGCACATCTCCACTAATTCTTTGCTGGACTGTCTTTTGCACATGCTCAGCTTTCCAGCACATATGCTGCGTTTCAGTGAACTTGGAAATTTATGACCTCCAACTAGAAAAAGTAGCATGGAACGCCACTTGAAGTCAGAGTTCCTATTTGTGAACTTGGTGAAAAAATATGTACCCCGACTTCACATGTTGCCAATATTATTATAGGTACACCAAGGTCACTGCTGAGGGTTCAGCGGTGTGCACACTTGACAAAGAATTATCAGTTTGTCACAGTCAGCCATGTATTTTGTTAACTTTCGGCGTCATGAATCATCACGCACCCGGAACGCTTTTAGGTCAGAAGTTCGAAATTTAAACTTGGAAATTCTGGAATGCAGCATTATTCCCCGATTCAGTTCACTCCTGTCTAACCTCGGCCTGATTCTATGGACTCTGATTCTCTGCCTAATCCCTGCCTGTAAAGTTAGCCAGTTTTTAAATGATCTCCCAGTTCTGACCCTGTTGTTCTTAGAATAAATCTTGTATACTTGGACAGTTACCCTGATTTTTTCTGTCGTGCTTGTGTGTTCTACCAGCTCTGAGTCACTGATCATCACAGCAATCAACTTATTAAGCAAATTTACTTTGACCACTATATTAAATATGGAATAACAAACTAAATAGCAGTTGTCATTTGTAACTAACTATCAGGGGTGGTGATGAAGCAGTGGATAAGACTATGCCTTTGGTGTGAGAGACCTGGGTTCAATTCCCCCTGTGACCCATCCACCATTGTGTCCCTGAGCAAGACACTTAACCCCTAGTTGCTCCAGAGGCGTGCGACCTCTGACATGTATAGTAATTGCAAGTCGCTTTGGATAAAAGCATCAGCTAAAATGAATAAATGCAAAGCTCTCCTTAGGTGATGCGGTGTTAATATTATTGTAGCGCAGACTTTCAGGCTGAAACAACAGATTCGCAATGTTAGCAGAGCTAATGGTAGTTTACTTTCAGCAGTAACCTAAATGGTTACTTAGGAAGTTTTTCCTTGCCTCTGTCGCCTAGTGCTGCTCTTGGTGGGAACTGTTGGGCTTCTGTAAATAACATCACAGAGTACAGTCTAGACCTGCTCTTTTTATGAAAAGCGCTGTGAGATAACTGTTGTTGTGATTTGGCGCTATATAAATAAAACTGAATTGAATTGAATTGAATTAAATGTTCCTCAACACAAAACTAAGTGCTTAGTAATTTATTAATATAGGGTTATGATGTGGCAACTAGTTCTAAATGTTTCAACTCTCTTTGAGAATCCTGTTCCTTCAAGTAGTTGTGTGTTGACTGCTGTCTGTACAACAAATTGCCCTCTGGGACAATAAAGATATCCTTGACCTTGAGTTCTACAACAAAACAAAACTGATCAGCTAAACGCTTTGAGATTGGGGAAAACTTTAATACATTGCTTTAAACTGAACCTGGTGCAGTATTATGAAAATTCCAATATCCAAACTGATTAAAGAGGTGGTATTCTGCTCATTTTCAGGTTCAAAATCCTATTTAGAGGTTGTACCAGAACAGGTTTACATGGTTTCATTTTCAAAACAACATATTTTTTGTCATACTGCACATTGCTGCAGCACCTCTTTTCACCCTGTGTGTTGGAGTGATACATCTTGTCTCTAAATGATCTTTGTTGGGAGTTGCACACGCGCAGCTCCTAGTTAAGGACTACTAGCCAATCAGAAGCAGAGAAGGGCGGGTCAGCGAGAAGCCGGTAAACCGCTTCGGTTCAGCTGTAGGCTACATGTTACATTGGTTACGCCAATCGGAGGTCACTAAGATTAATGTTGAGTCGGTGTGTACATATGCAGAAACAATGTCGGACACCGTAGTTTTCTCTGAACCCCTGCCAAATCTGACCAGTGATGACATGTATAGCCGCATGTCGTCATTCCGCCGCTGGTTGTCGAGGTGGTGTCCAGCAAACGATGTGGGCTTTGTAGATCATTGGCAGACTTTCTGGGGAAGACCTGGTCTGATCCGGAGAGACGGCATCCATCCCACTTGGGAAGGAGCAGCTCTCATTTCTAGAAATCTGGCCAAGTTTATTAGTGGACCAAATCCATGACAACCCAGAGTTGAGACCAGGAGCAGAGTCGCAGTCTAACACACTTCTCTGCCCTTCTAATTCAGCAGTTACCCACCCAAAACCCTACGCAGAGTCGCAGTCTAACACACTTCTCTGCTCCTCCATTTCAGGAGTTACTTAGTGAAAATCCTATAGTGACGGTGTCTGTCCCCCGACCATCGAAATTATTTAAATCAAAGGTAAACAGAAGAGGAGCTGTGCATAAAAACCTCAATTAAAACCACAAGAGCAATAGTGCAAATGAATAGGAGAGTTAAATGTGGACTCTTAAACATCAGATCTCTCTCTTCTAAAGGTGTACTAGTAAATGAACTAATATCAGATTATGATATTGATTTATTTTGTCTTACTGAAACCTGGCTGGGTGATGGAGAATATGTTAGCCTAAATGAATCCACCCCTCCCAGTCATATTAATACTCACATTCCTCGAGGCACAGGCCGAGGAGGTGGAGTTGCAGCTATCTTCGACTCTAGCCTACTAATCAGCTCTAAACCTAAACTAAACTATAACTCATTTGAAAGCCTTGTTCTTGGTCTTTCGCACCCAAGTTGGAAATCACTGCAACCAATTCTCTTCGTTATAGTGTACTGAGCACCTGGCCCGTACTCTGAATTCTTATCTGAATTTGCAGAGTTTTTGTCAACTTTAGTCCTTAAAACGGACAAAGTTATTATTGTAGGGGATTTTAATATTCACGTGGACGTTGAGAATGACAGCTTTAGTACTGTGTTTATCTCTCTGTTAGATTCCACTGGCTTCTCTCAGAGTGTTCATGAACTGACAACTGTTTGATAACTTTTGAGTTTGTATTGCTGAACTACACGCCATTGGGCAAAAATTTCTATATAAGATGTCTGTCTGATGGTGCTGTAGCTAAATTTAAGGACGCGATTCCATCAGCTCTAAATTCATTATCAAGTCACAAAGTAACGGAGGATTCCTATGCTAGTTTCAGTCCCTCCCAAATCGATCATCTTGTTGATAGTGCTGCAGGCTCGCTGCGAAAGACACTCGACTCTGTAGCCCCTCTAAAAAAGAAAATACTAAAACAAAGACGGTTAGCTCCATGGTATAATACTGAAACTCGCAAATTAAAGCAAATATCGCGGAAACTTGAGAGGAATTGGCGTTCCACCAAACTGGAAAATTCTCGTTTAATTTGGCAAGATAGTCTTAAAACTTATAGGAAGGCCCTCCATAATGCCAGAGCAGCGTACTACTCGTCATTAATAGAAGAAAATAGGAACAACCCCAGGTTTCTTTTCAGCACTGTAGCTATTTTTATGAAAAGAGCTGTGAGATAACTGTAATTGTGATTTGGCGTTATATAAATAAAACTGAATTGAATTGAACCTCTGACATGTATAGCAATTGTAAGTCGTTTGGATAAAAGCGTCAGCTAAATGAAAAAATTGAATCTTAATTGCAATATCTGGCAGAAATCATCATCAATCATTCAGCCCTAATTCATATATTTCCAAATATGAAAGAGGTTGTAAATGCTAATTATGATCCTATATGGAATCAGTTAAACTAATTGAAAGATGGACACACTTTAAATCTCTCTCTAATTGGAAGAATTCATATTTTGAAAATTAATATACTCCCCAAATTGTTTTACTTATTCCAGAACATCCCACTGCCTCCTCCTCCAAATCTATTTTATTTTCTAAAGAAGGTATTTTTTTTATTTTCTGTGGAAGAATAAACGTCTTTGCTTATCCCTCCTGTACTTACTCTTTGAAAGACAGAGGCTCCATTTTTGCAATTTCCTCTGGTATTTGAGAACTGAGAAATGTTTTATTTCACAAAGGACAACCCTCCTGCCTGGGTAGAGATGGAGTCTCACTCTTTAAAAGATACCTCCTCCTCTCTATATGTACTCAGGTATCCCTAAAATACTCCAAAACTAACTCCATTACTCGGAACATGATCAAGGTGCGGTTCGAGGTGAGGAAACATCTAGGTAAATCACATCCTATTTCTCGTTTCAGCCCAATTTGTGGCAATGAAGATTTCACTCCTGGTAGAGCTGATATTGGGTTCAGGATTTGGTCAGAAAAGGTACAGAAAATTCAGGATTTGTATCGTTCAACTGATGCTACATCAGTGTCTTTTGAGGAGCTTGTAATAACTATTTACAAATCAGAAATTTCATTGGAGCAAACCAAACACAGGGACATTTTTACACTGTGTGTGGGAAGAGGTCAAATATACAATAGAAGTTATATTATCTGTAAAATTAACAATGGAACCCAAATTCTGTTTATTAAGCTGTTACACCAAAGAACGTCTCGGGTTACATATGTAACCCTTGTTCCCCGAGAAGGGGAACGAGACAATGCATCGTTGACGACACTTTGGGAACGCCTCTGGGCGTGGCAGGGCTGAACTATGAATTAAACTACTCCAATCCTATTGGTGTTGCTAGAACGGTAGCGTGTGACGGCGTAACCGAAGGGGTATTGTGGTGTCCGAACAATAATGCTGCGATGATGTGTTGAGAAGAAATCCGCTTGCACACAAAATTTAGAGTCTTCTCACACATCCACCCGCAAGCATTCACACGGGATCAAACCGGTTTACCCTTTAACGCACACACAGACACACGAACTGACCAGCGCCCACAGTTTATGAGAAAACTCACCATATACGCCAGCGTCTGGAG